TCTGGCTAGGGTCTCATGCACTTACTGATGGTATTGGGGCAAACCTCTGGCTGTTGCCTGTGTGCCTGTGCAACACTTTTCCAGGCAGGCTGTTGGCTTGGGCCAGTGTGCCCCAGCCTCTGGGGTCAGGGTTGAGCCCTGGCTGGGATCTGCTTGCAGCCGAGCTGCTCTGGTCCATACTGCTGCTCCCCCAATGAAGGTGGTCTGGTGTGTCTTTATTGCAGAGATTTTCTTCACTTTTCCGGTGGGGTTTAATTTTCATCAAGGGGCCTCAGAGAGGCCCTCTTTCTGTTGTTCACTTCTACTCTATCTTCTCAAGCTCAGAACGATGTCCTTTATGACCCCTGCAACTCTGTGGTGTGGATCTAGGTAATGGCTTGGCACAGCCGGGGTGGGGGAGGGGGTGCGCTGGTGCCCACGTGGCTCACCTCTTTGATGCTCTGGGGCGGTGGTACGGCAGCCCGAGAGGCTCACCTCAGCACTCTGGGAAGGAGGTACAGCAGCCCAAGAGGCTCACCTCGGCACTCTGGGGCGGTGGTACCTAAAGTAATTATTAATGAGGAGCGACTGCTGCCATTTTGCTATTTGTTTTCTATTTGCCTTGTAGCTTTTCGTGTTCTACATTTCCTGCGCTGTTGTCATGTCTTGTGTTTAGTTTTTTTCTCATAGTGAAATGATTTAATTCTTTGCTCATTTCATTTGGTTTGTATGTATATATTTTATAGTTATTTTCTTTGTGGTTTCCATGGGGATTAAATTAAACATTGTGGTATTATAATACTCCTATACCACCTTAACTTCAACAATATATAAAGTTCTGTTCCTATATGGCTTTATTCTCACCCTCTTTCAGTTATTGATGTTACAGTATCACATCTTTCTACCTTGTGTGTCCAAAACATAAATTAATAATTTGATACATTAATCTTTTAAAGAATATAGAAAAAATGTGAAGTTACAAACTAAAGTTAGAATGCTTGCTTTTAAATTAGTAATAGATTTAAAAAATGTATTAGTCTCTTAAATCGTGTAGAACACAAAAAAATAGAGCAGCAAACCAAAATTTTAATAACACTAGCTTTTATAATCACCCACATTTGTACTTTCACTGAGAGCGTTATTCCACTATATGACTTTGAGTAACCTTTGAGTGTCCTTCTGTTTCAACCTGTTGGACTCCTCGGAGCGTTCCTTGCAGGGTAGGCCTAGTGGTAACGGAGTCCCCTAGTTCAATTTAGGGGATGTCTTCATTTTGCTGTCACTTGCAAATGACAAAGAAAACAGGGTTGCAAAACAGAAGATTCTTAGTTGATATTCTTTCGTTTTTCAACATGAAGTATATCGGCCTCTGCCTTTTGGCCTCTGCACTTCTGATGAGAAATCTATTGATAGCTGATGTTCTTCTTGAGAACCTCCATATGTGATGAACTGCTTCCCTCTTGCTATTATCAAGGTGTTCTCTTTGCCTTTATGTTTCAGCAGTTTTCTTGTGATGTGTCTTAGTGTGGGTCTCTAAGTTCATCCTACCTGGTGTTTGTTAAGCTTCTTGGACATCTATACTCATATCTTTCATCAGACTTAGGAACTTTTCAGTCATTATTTTGGATTCGTTCTTTATCCCTTTCTTTTTCTCTTCCACTCTGGAGCTCCCACAGCGCATAGGCTGTTCCAAAGCTCTGTGCACTTCAGTCTTTCTTTCTTTCTGTTCTTCAGACTCAGTAATTATCAATTGTTCTATTATGAAGTCCACGCATTCTTTCTTCTGTGTGTTCAAATTTGATATATATCGACTTCTTCTAGTGAATTTCTCATTTCAGTTATTTTATTTTTTAGCTTGAGTTTCTTCTTTGTTTCTTTTTAGATTTCCCATCTCTTCATTTTTATTTCCATATCATCCATACAACCATCTCCCTTTAATTCTTTAAACATCTTTAAGATAGTGGTTTTAAAATCTTTGTCTAGCAAATCTGCCTTCTGTTCTTTTTCAGAGGTGGTTTTTTTGGCTGTTTTTCTTTGTGTGCCTTGTGATTGTTTTTAAAGAAACTGGACTTACAGAAGTCATCTAATAATGTAGTAACTCTGGAAATGGATTCACCTTTTCCCAAGGGTTTGATTTTTATTTTTGTCCTTAAATTGCTGTAGGCTGAGCCTGTGCTGGTGCTAACCCGATGTGTAAATTTACGGGAGTCTGAGTGTTTTTTAAAGCCTCTGGCTTTCCTTGTGTAGGAAAGGGTGCTGACACTAAATCCTCTGGGAGTTGCTTCAGCTAGAGGAGCAGGGGATTGCAACAGTGGGGTGAGGGGTGAACAAGTGGCTGGCCCCCACCATGTGTCTGTGTTCCCGGGATCAGAAGCAGCAACAGGAGTTAAGATACAGGTTCCTAGTACTGCAAACAAACAAATGAACAAAACAAATGTGATTTGAAGTTGTTGTTAGATGCACACTTATTTATGAGTTTTTTGCCCCCTTCAAGAATTGACCCCTTATATCATTATAAAATATGTTTCATCATTCCTGGCAGTATTTCTTGTGTTGGAAGCTGCTTTGTTGGTTGATATAGTGGTTCAAAATGTTTTGTGATTAGTGCTTATATGGTACATCTTTTTCCATTCATCTATTTTATTTCTAGAGTTTACATTTATTTATAGCTTCTGTTTCTCCTCTGAAAAGATTTTGCTATCTTCTCATTTTTAAAAGAGCATTTTATCTATCTCACAATGCATAGTTATAACATCTACTTTAAAAATTCTTATCTGCAAACTTCAAAATCTGGGTCATGCCCGAGATGGCCTTTTTTCTTGACAATGAGTCATATTTTTCAGTTTTCTCACAAGTTCTATACTTTTGGACTCTTTCCTAGATAGTGGGCCTGTTATGTCAACTCTGGCATATGACTTCAAATAGTGTTGTTTATGTCTGTTTTGGCAAGCAGCAGATTTGGTTAAACTCAAATTGCTTGTTCCACCTCTTGGGACAGCTCCTATCTCTGTTCATCTCTTTTAACCTTAGCTGTGTTGCTGGGCGCCTGTTCTGTGCGTGCTTAGGGGTCGGCCAAGGTTTGACCCTAATTTATCCATGGAATTTGGGTGTCTCTTTCTTTGTGACTCTCTTTTTTCCAGAGCGCCTCCATCTCACTTTTAATTGATGGTGATTACCCATAACTCTGTTTTATTGTTCAAGTAAAAATGATAGATTTTCTTTTATTTGCCCTCATTCCTTTCCCTAAAAACCAGACTAGTGCTTGTGTGTGTGTCTGTGTACATGACTGTATTTTGGAGTTGGAGTTACACAGGTGTGTTGCTGGTAGCAATGAAGAATAGAAAAAAGAATATATCACTGATAAGTAGCAACAAGCAAAGTTTACTGAAATTGATGTGATGGGCAGACACAAGTGTTCAGCGGTCACTTTTTTATATTCCACCTTTAGCTTCCACTTTGACAAAGTTTCCTTCTCTCATATTGAATGAAATTTTGCCTGTCAGACAAGATCTGTGTGTGGCAGGTGGGGATTTTATGAAGTGTGCCTACTTCAAACGTATGTGCTCACGTATCCCAGGGGGAAACTGCCAGAGTAAACCAGTAGTGCCCAGAAGTGGGGCAAAGTAGGAGGACAGACCCCCTCTGGCCTGCTGAGGTCACACATCTCCATAAGTCACTGCCCTGAACACTTGAAGTGGCAGGCAGAACTGCTAAGGGAGGTGAGTCAGCACCAGGCAGTGAAATCATTTCCAGAAATGATGGAAAGTCATTTTTCTGTCCTCTGGCTCTTTAGGATTCATTTTACCAGTGAGGAAAATTTGGCATGATGAGCTTTAGCTTCAGTTTTCAAGGGGTTGTTCAGTTTTGTGAGGAAATTTTGTGGACGTATAGGACAGATAATTAAAAGGGAAACTCCTTCTTGATTCTATAGTCTTTGTTATTGCAACACTATGCAGGTATTTGCTGCACAGTGAGGGCTCCCGAGTACCCGCTGGCCTTGGGTGCTACTCCGTTGCATTTAGGGCCCTTTGAGTAGAAGATTCCTTGCCATGTTTGTCTACTAGGCACATGTCTATATAATTTGGGTTTTATAATTTATGAATAACCCCAAAATTAAATGTAGTCTTCATTTAATTTGAATATTTCACTTAAGTAGACATATGTGAGAGCTGTTAAAATATGTGAGTATAGCTGTGTGAAATATTAGTAGTAGTTTAACAAAATGTTCTTTATTGACTTATATAATTTTTTGACTGTATAACCCATTAGCATGCTTCAGAAATAAAAGCTGAACAGGGTAAATGCTTGCTCTCACTTTTGCCTTCTTTTTGTTGGTCTCCCAATTCTCCCCTCCCCCAGCTGCTGGTTGTCTGTGTGTCTCTGGCTAGGAGTGCTTGTGTGGAAGCGTGCATGCGCGCATCTGTGATTGTGTGTGTGCATTCATACACACTCATGGAAAGGAGACTTTGATTTCCACTCTGGTTCCTGGTGCCAGTGTTCAATTTTAATAATGTATGTGTGTGCATCACTCTTAATCCAGTCTGTGGTCTCCGAAGGCCTGGAGATATTTTTGAACACTACATCATCATGTTATTGGATCCAGTGCTTTTGTTTTTCTAATTGAATTGCATTAATGTGGTTTTATTGTTTTATAGAAAAGATTCATCTTCCAGAATGTGGTCTAATTTAATATTTTACTGTTGATAATTTGATTTTATAGATGTGGATGAAGATTTTATGATTGATTCTTTTACCAGCTAAGTGATTAGCTGTGGAAGTAGAATGTAAGAACGTGATAGGAAATAACATTCATAGTTGTTTAAATTATTTTTATTTTCTCTCTTTCTTTAAAGTGGGGAACCATTCTTGAAAATTTATGTACAGTATTACTTCAATATGTTTGTTTACAAGTATCATTTATAGAAGTAATGGCAGTTACTTTTTAATTTTGGAAGATAATTTTGTCTTGGCAGTTCACTTCATCTTAAGCATTTCGCTTATTCTATTCCTTTATGTCCTAGGCAATGCAAAGAAACAAGTTTCCAAGAAAAAAACTTCAGATAAAAAAGGAAGACATCAGAGAGAGTGCCCACAACATTCTCCTCTTGAAGATATTAAACAGCGGAAAGTATTAGACCTCAGGCGATGGTAATGTTGTTCTGTCAGGTTTTACTTTTTAGTTTTTGAAATATATGTTTTGGCAGTAATTTTGCTGCTTGTCAGTTAATAAATTATATGTATGATAACTATTTTTAGTTTTAAGATTGTTTCTAGGATTTATAAATATTCAGTATACCACACCATTTGAACTAGTATTTCCCAAACTTGCCTAGCCATTAAAATCATCTACTATGCAATTCCGCATAATGGTTAACTAGATTGAACAATGGTTAAATTTTGATATAATCGCATCCCTAATTTTTCTTTGCTGAAGCATTTTCAAGTCAATAATTGACATCATATTTCATAGCAGGTTATGTAAGTATGGATCTCTGAAGCATAACTTAATCACAAACTAATGTCATACCTCAAAAAATCAGCACTGTTTCCTTGGTGTATAATTCCTGGGCTAACTTTCCATTTCTCAGAGAATACTTTCCATTTCTCAGTTTTTATTTTAAAGGAAAAATATTTAACTTATGATAGTTTTCAAAATATTACAGATCTTTGATTTGAGTTTTAAAAACTCTTATGTGAGGCTTTAGAAATATTAGGTTTTTATTAATTGTGTAATTAGCATTGGACCTTATATTACGGGCTGAGAATTTGGAGATCCAAGAAACATGGTCTTTGTTTTGCTGAGGTTTAGAATCTAATTGAGAAGCGAGGATTAAGCAGAAAAACATAAAACACCTTAGGCACTCTGTCGGATGAGGAGTAGGAATGAACAGCAACCTCGAGAGGCTCTCCCGGAAGCGAAGACTTTCCTAAGGAGCTGGATCCTAAGGGAGGGAAGATGAGAGCGTGGAGGGGCAGAAGGTCTGTGAGCAGAGGGTGGGAAAGCGTCTGGCACCCTAGTGCTGGACAGTAGACAGCATGTCGGTAGTGAGGTCCAGAGAAGCTCAGAAGTCACCCAACGTCACCTGGCTGATAAGTACAAGGTCTTCAGTAAAACTGAAGTCAGGTGTCAAAGTCCATGTGGTTTCTCTTGAACACATGCTATCATCTCTTTCTTGAATACCAGGCTAATGCTATTGGTTTTTTATTTCTCTTCGCGCGCGCACGCGCGTGCGTGCGTGCGTGCGTGTGTGTGTGTGTGTCTACTAGAGCTTGAACCAGGGACACTGAGCTACACCCCCAGGCCTGTAGATTCTTTTTCTGAGGTAGAGTTAAGCCATTGAATTTCTTTAAAAAGAATATTTTACAACGATAAAGGGGAGTAGCTAGTGGATAGGGAGTATTGGAGAAGAGATACAAAAATAAAAAAACTTTTAGTTTCTTTGTACAGGGCGTTGCTCATTTTTCCTTCTGATCCTTTAGATTTAAGATTTGTTTTAATAACACATGCGTGTAATTATGTTTTAGTATTATAACATATGAGGCTATAAGACTACAAATAGGAGGTATACGGGAGAAATGCCTTGAGGCTAAAATCACCAGGACTTCTTTCCCATTGAGCGGATTATAAGAGTAGGGTTGGAATGCGGAGACCTGTAGTGTTGGTGAACGTTTTAACCTACTTCACTATGACATCATATTAACTTCACTATTCACTGCCAAGTCCCTATTTCCAAATAAGGTCACATTCACAAGTACCAGGAATTGGCCATAACGTTTTAGGGGACATGATTCAACCCATCACAATAACTATGTTATGTTTAATTGGCCATTATTATTTTTGGTGTCTCAGTGTCTTTATGATCCTTGTTCAGTCTGTGCATTCAAAGGTTATTGCTGATTTGTATATAAGTATATATTATATGCACATATACAGATATATACATGCACATGCCTATACAGTCATACAATTTTTCTTTTTTGGTAAATAATTTTTCAGGTAAGACTAAAATTATGCTTAGCGATAAAAGGACTTTTGCTTTTAATTTTGGCCACTCATTAGTGCCTTTATTAATTAGGAAAAGATCATTTAAAAATTAACTTTATTTCTTCCTTAAAATTGAATACTGTAGTCCACAGCCTTATTTCCCTTGAAACGTGACTGCTGTATTTGGAAAATTGTCTGGGTTACACAGTGCCATGCCACGGAAAGTTGTTTGTTCTGCTTTTAAAGCCCTCTGTGCCATGTTGTTTTGCCAAGGGCTTTTGCTGAACACAGTGAGTAATAAATGGATGTTTTTCAGTTTGGGTTGAAGAATTTTTCTTAAAACTTAATCTTTGCAGACAAGGTTTGGCTTTGTTTCTCCATTATTTCCGAAGTTACAAATAATCATGTATGCAGCTCAATTAAGCATTTGGACTAAAATTTTAGTAGTTGATGTCATTAATTGTTTCCATTGGTTTGGATAATATCATGTTAGTAGTTAGCTATAGTTAGCCATCCTTATTAAAATAAATGATTTATTATTGTTATGCACTTATGTGTTTAATAAATATAAGGATATTTTAAATAAAAAAGATTTTGCATTGTTTTAAATGATCTAAGTTTTTAATAGATTAACACTTTAAATCACCATGAGTTCTCTGTTCTGTTTTGTATTTTTTTTTAGTACCGGGTATCAAACTTGGGTCCTTGCGCTTGCGAGGCAGGCAGCGGAACCACTGAGCCAAATCCCCGGCCCATGTTTTATATTTTTCATACTCATTCAAGTGAAGAAAACAATCTTGTTTTCCAGGTACTGCATAAGCCGACCACAATATAAGACTTCTTGTGGTATCTCTTCACTGATTTCTTGTTGGAATTTCTTATATAGCACAATGGGAGCTGGAAGGTAAGCTTGTCAGTTTATTATATCCCTAAATTCCAAATTTTAAAGTAGTTTAATGTGGCATTTTTCTATAATGGAAGACTTTGAGGACACATTTTTCACAAATTAAGAGAAAACGTCTGCATTTTGTTCTAAGACTGGCAGCTTCAAATATATTCATGTATTCTTTTCAATAAAATAAAAATGAAAAAATATTACTAAAATTCTTTGCCAGCCAGATGGGTTTATGAACATTGAGACAGTTTTGCATGTGACTGGAACTGTAAAATGAAAGGCAATGTTTCTTTTGTAGCCTTCCTCCTATTACCCAAGAAGAGGCTCTACATATTTTGGGCTTTCAGCCCCCATTTGAAGATATTAGATTTGGCCCTTTCACTGGAAATACAACACTCATGAGGTATGAAGCAGACACGCAGTGCCTTCAATAGTTAGCGATACTTTATTTCTAGTTCAGCTGAAGGTCTGGGTTGATAGTGCATTGTCTGTATCGGAGTTGGGCCTCAACCTCTCACAGATACTTGTGCTATGCCTGAATTTCTGTAGAATGGGAGCAGTGGCCTGCATTGTTATAGAATCGTTGCCATGAGCAAATCTTTTTTTATTATTTTCAGGTGGTTCAGACAAATTAATGACCATTTCCATGTAAAAGGATGCTCTTATGTTCTGTATAAGCCCCATGGGAAGAACAAAACAGCTGGAGAAACTGGTAGGTAAATATGTAGAAGCTTTATATGTGTGCATGTGCTCTTTAGAGTCTGTCTCAAAGATTGGCTGCTTTGATTGATGGAACACAACACAGTCTGTTACTTTCATATCTCTTTAGCCAAGGTGTCATCTCTAGGACACTTTTCAATGTACAGTTTAATATTTTTACCTCTTCTGATATCTGCATGTAAAAGTTTTAGAACTTTAAAGAATGTCATAAACACTTCTTTAACATATTGTATTGAGTCCATGTTTGTATTTGTGTGTGTGTGTGTGTGTGTGTGTGTGCACGCGCTAGTACAGATCTTTCAAAACTAGCATGGAATTTGCTGTTCTGTTTTCTAAAAGTGAACGAAAGGAAAATATTTGATGCTGCATCTGTATGATAGCATAAAACAATGGGACAACAGAAGTGACAAAGCTCTGTTGTATAATAGTCTTGGTTCTAAGAGAACATAAATGGAGTTGATCTTAAGGATTATTTTAGTCATGTATTAATTACATTATTTGTATTATTTGACAGTTTCCATTTTAAATTGTTACAATCATCTTTTCACTTTACAAATCAGAAAACTATAATGCACAAGAGGTGATGAGAATATAAAGTAAATGTTTAAATTTAAAAAATTATTCAGTAAAAGACATTGTCATGAATCCCTCTTCAAATACTCTCTCTTGCCTCAGACACACTTCTGTCATTGTTCTTGCCACTTTCTGAAGTCTGGAAGTCCTCTTTTATGTTTTTATAAGGTGTGATTAAAAAATACAGTGAATTCTGCTGTTGAGTGCCATCCAACGTAGAGGCAGGCTCCTAGAGCACCACAGTGTGTCCTGGTTCACCCTATTTCCTGGATCTGTGTCAGTCACTGTGTGACTCCTGGCTCTCCCCCAAAGTCAATATGACCATGAAAGGCAAACATTTTGAATTGATTCAGGACAGGGAGGCAGCCACATAGTGCAACTAAAGACACTCATCAAAGAGGACTTCGAGAACTGCTTCAGAAAGTGGCAAGAACAATGGGATAAGTGCTTGAAGCAAGGGGGAAGATTTTAAGGGGATTAATGGCAAGTGTCTTTTACGGTAATAAATTTTTTATTTGAACATTTACTGTATTTTTCGATAGCACTTCATAATGTTAAAGAAAAAGCTATTCCAGTACTTCCTGAAATGGAAAGATGATTTTCCTCAGTATTGTTGGCATAGGGTATTAGAATAGGGATGAGCCATCTGACTCAATTCCACATATAACAGAGACCGCTGGGAATTCATAGTCAGTGAACAGGGGGATGAGGTCAGTGGATGTAAAATTGCTAAGAGGCGACATCACAGGAAGAAAGAATCTTGTCAAAATGGCATAACAGGCTTTCTGCTTAAGGCAAGCCACAGTCTTAGACATCAAGGATGTGTGTGTGTGTCGGGTGTGGTAAGGAGCTTAATTAGCTCTCAAGGATGAAAGACTCACTTTAAACAGACTCAGCAGGATTCTTGCTAAAACTAGATGCAGAAGCCTAAGGTTGAGGCCTTGTTGAGAAGAGAGCTCAAAGTTTGGTCAAGGACAGTTATCAAAAGAGAGTATATGGTTTACTAAGGTCAGTGATGGAACATAGAGTAGATTTCTGTTGACTTATATTGGATATATCAAGTAGGTTTATGATGGTGGCAAACTTGGAGAGTCCACATTGATTTTTATACATACAGTACTAGTTTTGTGACCTTGAGCATGTCATGTATTGCAAAGGTTTTGTCTTTCTGTATTTGCACCAACTCTACTGGACGCTGTGCAGATAAAAGGAGACATGTTTGTGATACACTTAGCACTTTGTGTTACGTGAAGTAAGTGGAAGCTTTCATTCTTCCTGAATGAATTCTATGTGTTCTCATGAGATCTGTCCGTCCTTGTGGAAAAGACAGTTTGAAATATATGTTGGTATTTTTTCTATTTTTAGGGAGATGATTAGCACACCAATGATTACGCAATTAAGTTTTTTAAAAAGGTACATTTTCCAGATTGCTTTTTTTCAGCTGTGTTTGGTTTGCATTTATACTGTCCATTGAGTTGGAGATTAAAAAATGACTTCAGTCATACTTTTTCATTCTAAAATATCTAGTTCATTTAGCTTGCTGACCATTTAAAAGTAGGTTGCAGACTAGAGGCTGGAGTTGATTTGTGGTTGGGAGTTGGCCAACCCTAGAGCTAGCTGATGAAGCCCAAAGACTTCAGCATGGTGGGTGAGGAATTGGTATTATCATACCCACCCCAGCCGGTTCCTGGTGGGCTGCACTGAGCTGCTCTCTCTCTCTCGCCCTCTTCTTCACAAAGTACATTTTTGGCGCTTGGAGTCCTGCTTATGGAATGGCCTGCTGCATAGCAGAGTGTAAGGAATGTGGAATTGCTTACTTGGAAGGATTCTCAATCATCTGTTGATCTTGGACTTAAATGGGAGGGAGAATTTTTCATCTGCTTCCCACGCAAGATTAAATCCTTCCTTCTCCTGGGTTATCACGTTTGTGTTTGCCTCTGGTAGAACTTCATTTTCCTGTTGGTCACTCTTGGCATACCAGATGGTTTCTTCCTGAAAAACCTGAGCTACCTCCCTTAAGGCCAAGGCCCAGATTCTTATCATTTATGTATCATAATGTGTGGTAATTAGGTGATCATTAGGAATTAATTTAATGAATCCTAGGTTGAGGAAATGAGGCAAGAGGAATTCAGAAGACTGGGGTTAGGAAACTTCTAGAATTTTGTTTTTCTCCATCTGAAAAGCCAGCATTCTTCTTTTGGAAGTGCTCTTTGTCCTGATGTGGAAAGGACAATGTTATGTTTTCCTCTCTCTTTAGCTGATCTTTTCTTCTGGCTCCTTCCTGCTCTCTCTTCCCACACACTCCCAAACACATAGTCATCCACACTAGGTTGCTAGCCCTGCCCTAACTTTTCATCAGAACATGTGGCATCCTCTTGCTGTCTCGTGGAACCTTAGTTGGTGGCTTTTCAGATTTCTAGATGTTATGTTTTTCTGAAGGGTGAGACTTACATTTAGCAATACCTTGAACATTGCCTTCCACATTACCAGTGTTCAGTAAAAGGTGAAGGACTTCTCAGATCACTTCTTAACTGCTTCATGGGACTGCTTGATGGAGTGTGGAAAAAACGTATGTCTAGGATAATAGAAACAATGGAGTGGTTGTCACAGGTAGTGCAGGGTATAACAGAAAGCCCCTATATACAGTTCTTGGGCTTGTGTCCAAGACTGCACAATGAGTAGGGCCCTGGGAACACCACAGCAAAACCCATTCCTTCTTTCGCTTGCTTGTCTTCTGCTTGCTGACCACAAGAGGACTTCAGCAGAGAAGTTCATGGTTTCCTGTTGTATTAATATTGGCAGCATCAAAACGGAGTGAGAGGTTAGATGAAGAGAGGGTCAATAATTAAAGGAAATCAAGGGAAGCATGAACACCCAAATAAACTAGAAAATGAAAGAATATAGTATATCATTGAAACTCTGGTACAAAGAAAACAACATCAATTATATACATTTAATGAAATTCTTGAAGGGAGAAAATGCACTCCTATAATCCCAACACTCGGAGGCTGGGGCAGAAGGATCTCTGTGAATTCAAGGCCAGCCTGGGCTACATAGTCAGTTCAAGGTCAGCCTGAACCTTACAGGGAGACCCTGTCCCAAAAAATATATACATAGCCAGGCCTGTTGACACATCCCTGTAATCCCAGAACTCTGGGAGGCTGAGGCAGAAGTTTCACAGTTTGAATGAGCCCAGTCTGAGTGACTTAGTGTCTTATCAAGACCTTTTTTCAAAAAAAAAAAATTAAAAAAGGGCTGGGGATGTAGCCCATTATGAAGATCCTGGGTTCAATCCCCAGTACCACAAAAAAGTAAGAAAACACAATTTTTTATTATTAGAATGCAATAAAATACTAAGAGAGCTCTGGAGAGCGTTGACTTGGGAACTGCTATTCTGGAATTTGGAAAGGTTTTTTTTTCAGTACTGGGGATTGAACTCGGGACCTTGCCGCTTGCAAGGCAGGCGCCGGAACCACTGAGCTAAATCCCCGGCCACCTTTGGAAAGGTTTTTGACTAAATGTCCAGCACAACTTGAAGATTTTACACCCTAATTATATTAGAGATTCTTGTTTGTAGATCTTTTGAAGAGCTGTACTTTGTTTTCTTTTCTAATAGTCTAGAACCTTACCAATTCTTCATGACTTATTTAAGAGTGATCTGATGTAAATGCTCTCCAGTTTCCTCAGTAAGCTAGGATGTGTGGTACTGGATCCCACTGACTCCTTTGTTTCTATTTTGAACTTCCAACACACATCCAGTATTTTACATACAGGGAATGGGATAAATTACCTATGTTCCTTGCTTGGCAGGGGTATGGTGGTGGTTTCTGCAAATCTCCTCAAATAAATTTTAGTAATATGGTTTTCAATTTTAATAACTAGTTGTGCCAGGCATAGCAATGCATGCCTGTAATTCCAGCACTCAGGAGGCTGAGGCAGAAGGTTCACCACAAGTTTGAGGCCAGCCTGGGATATAGAGTGAGTTCAAGGACAGCCTAAACTACATAGCGAGATCCTGTCAATAAATAAATAAATATCAAGTTAAATTTTTATTTCAGAATACTTGAATTCTCTGTTATTTTTCTATATGTATTTCCAGAAGGATAATTAATCTGCTCACCACTCCATAACTCTGTGGCTTTCTCCTTCTCTATAGTGGTCTCCACCTCTGAAGCATTTCCTGGCCACTGCAGGGAATGTAGATTCCTCTTATGTTGTGTGGCACTAAATATTTGTCTGTCGTCTGTCATTTGATAAATTCTGCTTACATTTTATCATGTTAACGTGAAGGTCCAGCTACACATCCATAGGGACCATCCCAGATAGCCCTTTGATTCCATGCACGGTCCCCATGACCTCACATACATTACCCTATAACTTCTGAGTGTTTGCCGGGGAGGAGCAGGACTGTATAAAACGAGCCACCTTTTCTGGTCTCTTCTTGTGGAAGGAAGGAAGAATTGCAGACACAGGATTTCTTCGTCTGTCTCTGGGATGTTCAGTTGTGAAAACAACTCTCAGGTGGTGTTGCTTATTCAAAAATACTCTAAAATGAATCTTCTCTTCTTGTTTACAATATTTTTAAAGAACTTTTAAGCCTGTTTTCCACAGGGCCCTTACATTTTCCTGGACACTACACTTCTTTGACTTTGTAACTCCCTGGTGCTTGTTGACCCAATTCCAATGGACTCAGCCTCCTTAGGGAATAAAAACAAAGTCTAGGGTTTGATAAAATTTAACTGTAAAAGCCAGTTGATGTATTTTTTACGTGAAAGGTGATGCTAGGAGGTGACAACATTAGCTGTCCATTTGAAAATATTTGCCATTAATCACTGTGCCAGGAAAGTCCAGATTCACTCTTTCATAGGCTAGCTTGAAGATTATACTTCCACTTAGATATGTGATTTTTCATTCTTCCAGTGGGTGTTACAGTTCACTACTTTTGTTACCAACCCCTGCCTCATCCCTACTGATTCACACATAACCCTCCCCATGACCACAGCTACCAGCAGACTGCAGCGCCTCGGCATATATGAGGTGTCCAGTGCATTAATACTGCTTCCCTCATCCACTGGTTCTCGTCATTTCATATTAAACACAGGGCCAGATAAGACGTGCAGTGCTAATTCACCCCTTTGCTCCTCAGAAGCTCTCTAGTGCTTGCTTCCTGTCAACCATGCAGCAGGCTGGTTTTGTTCCCCTTCCTCTCCACTGTACAGATTGTGGCTCTGCGTTTAGTCGTGGTTGCCTTGTCACTTAACTTTCTGATTTTTTAGATCTATTCTGGTATAGACTGGATTTCGTTCTGAATTTAGCTTCCATCAGTGACACCTTTATATGTCCTTTCATAAGCAAAATCACTTTCTCACATGATTAATGAATTAAATGCTATATTTACTGTCTTTTATTTCAGAGGGTGATCTTTTTGTGACTTTGTCCTGAAATTGTGGGGGTGCCCTACGGTAGGCTTTTCTCTACAATTGTACTCTGTGTTCTAAATGAGGTGATTTGCTGCTCCCCAACTATATCCTTTCCCTCCGCTGTGGTTTTCCATTCTCCTCCTGGCCTTTCCTCTGTGTGGATTGTTGAAATCCCACCACTTCATTAAGTTCCTTCTTGAATGCTACCCTTTCTTGATTCCTCAAACCCGATGTGCACTTTTCTCCTGTGAATCTGTACCCTTTTGTGGCACTGTCTTATTCCGCCTTATAGGACATACTTGTTCCATCTTCCCTGCTAGAGCTTGTCTTTTGTTTTCCTGCGGTATCTGATACACTTACTAGATACTTATGAGTCGAGTTAAACAAAATGTTTCTCTGAAGAGTAGAGCAGTGGCTCTTAAGATGTGGTCTGTGGACCAGTATTGGCATCAGTCAGTAACTTGTTAGAAATGTAAATTTGTGGTCCCCTACCCTCGACCTGCTGGTTCAGCCACATTGAGGCGGAGGCGGAGGTGGAGGTGGAGGTGGAGGCGGAGGCGGAGGCGGAGGCGGATGACTACCCACAGCGTTTCATTTACCAAGCCCTTCCTGTGGTTTCGAAGAGCTAGGGTTTCCGTTGGTAGGAAATCCAGTGCTTTTCCAATTATGCTCAGTTAGATACTGTGGAAGTGCCTCTGGGGATGGCAGAGATGAGGCTGGGCACTTGCCTTTTGGCTCCAGCAGCTCTGCTTTGATCCTTTTTGTGGACTAGACTGCCATGTAAGTTTTCTTTTGCAGAAGGAGCTGCATGTGAAGCTTAAAAATTACTGATCCAAATTAGAGGTTAGCAAACTTCTGGCCATGAGCCAGGGGCCTAAGTTGTAAATCAAGTTTTATTGGAACACAACCATACCCCTTAGCTTACACATTGCCTGTGGCTGCTTTCACGTGACATGGTAGAGGTGAATGATATGAGTAGTCCTGTGATCCACAGGCTTAACATATCTGCTCTGTGGCCCTTTAAAAACAGGTCTGCTAACATCTAATCAAATCCAACGAAATGATGTTAGGTACTGCACCTTGAAATAAGGAAAAAACATCCTTGAGTATCTTAAGCACATAAACATTATAAAGTGTATTATTATAAATCCTACAGATAAATATGGTATCTGTTGTATATGGTAATAAGCCCATGAAGATTATTCCACAGAAGAAAAACCATCTAATGTCTTCTAGAAAAAGAGGTGGTAAAAGGATATTTGCAGCACACAAAATGATGTGAATATTAATGAGTGTTATCTCATTTGCCCCTGAAATATTCCAGGGCATTAAAGTAATTACTATTCATAGTCACATTAAAGAAGTTTTGAATTACATTTGATTTAGGAAAGGAAGAGTGTGAAATACATAAGGATTTCTATTGAAAACTTATGATGAACGCTTTCATTTTGTTTTGTTGAGACAGAGTCTCACTACATAGCTCAGGTTTGCATTGAAATTGCTGTGTAGCCCCAGGCTGGCCTCAAACCTGACATCGTCCTTTTCAGCTTCGCAAGTGCTGAGATTATAGGCATGTACCACCATGCCTGGCCATGATGAAAGTTCTTTTAATGAAAAGTTTCAGGGCTAAGGATATAGGTCAGTGGTACAGTGCTTGCCAGACATGTATGAGGCATGATCCCCAGCATCACAACTAACAGACAAATAAACAAAACGATTCACTTAGCAGGGGCCTGTCTCAAAATAAAAAGTGAAAAGGGCTGGAGATGTAGCTCAGGGATAGAGTCCTTCATTCAATTCTCAGTGCCACAAAAATTTTTTCCAAGAAATTTTATATATCAGTTATGTATATAAGCATCTTTTGTAGTTACTGCATTTGTGAGGAGTCTAAACCCCACATTTGTATTGTTCATTATCTTGGAACCTATCTGCAATCAAATTCAGTTGGGGAGATGAGATACTGATGTCTTCTTTAACTTCCATTTAGAGTGCCCAGGGTTAGCCGATTTTAGGCTGTTGGGAATACAACCAAAAACTACAGAAAGACTTACCAGTTATCGTTATGAAGAAGGGATTTTAGGAGAAAAGATCTAATCGTGCAGGGTCCTCTGGTCGTAGACCACAAAGTAAGCACTTTTGCAGAAGGTGAAACTGGAGAAAGAGTTTAAGCCAGGAATATTATCATCACCATGGGCAAAACAAATGGTGTGGAGCAGGTGGGACCTGTCTCTTTGACTCTCTGGTACAGCCATGGGTATTCTTAGTGGTCTTTAGCTCTTTGAGGGGCCAGAAAGTTGAACACTGTAACTGTAATTTGCAACCTTTTATCTACTATTTTTAGGATTTCTTGTTTTAATGGGCCATTTGTTAATGAATAATTTAATTTATTCCAGGAATGCAAGTTAATGAAACCTCAGTTAATGGCTTTGAGTACTGATTGCTGGTAAAAACTTATTCTTTATGGTAATACTTTTGAAATTACTTGACAACTGTTATAGTGGTGGGAAATAGACAAGGAGAAGTGATGTGAAGAGGTTGTTGTAGTACTTCAGCCTGACTCTGTAGAGATGTTCCTACCACTTTGTGAGCTACTCTTTTGGTTTGTGTAACATTTTTTAGAAAGAAGGTGTGTGTTAGTGGGGGAGGTTGGCATTTTTGAAGCTTGTTTATTAGCTATTTAAATTTATACATGTATATCAGTGGCTTTAAATTGGGATGTACACATCCTGTACATATTATAGTGCCTATATTTTTATATGTCTTAAAGTTCTTACTTTTTGTATATCTTTTGCAAATACTAGTATGTAGTATATATAAATACAGTTTATAAACAAATGTGCCTATGTTGGGATGCTTAGTCAGGATTTTTAATGACAAATATGCACACCCAAAAAGATTGAGACCATTGCTATAAACAAAAGATATTAGGTTTTATATAGTAATTACAGTTTCATAGACAGCTTTGTGTAGTATTGGAACATTTTGGTAAACATGGACATATTTCAGTTTTTGTATTTTTTGTTTGGTACTGGGGATCAAACACCGGCCCTTGTGCTTGCAAGGCAGGCACTGGAACCACTGAGCTAAATCCCCAGGCCTTCAGTTTTTTTTTGTTGTTGTTGTTCTTTAATCTGAATTTGTCTAAAGAGTGGAGCTGAAAAATAAATTCATGAATATTTGTTGTACTGATCAATGGCTTCCTGTTTTCCCCCAGCAGTGCCAGTATGTCCCAAGCAATGTCGTTTCTGTCTTTCAGTCCTTAACTAGTTCACCGTGTTAAACATGAACAGTACTTTATGGGTCCTTTGTTTGTTTGGTTTTGTTTTTCGAAGCTTCAGGAGCCTTGTCAAAGTTAACACGTGGATTGAAAGATGAATCGCTGGCTTATATCTATCATTGCCAGAATCATTATTTTTGCCCAATTGGCTTTGAAGCAACCCCAGTTAAAGCTAATAAGGCATTCAGGTAAGCATGTATGTATTTTATGTGGGTGCTCTACCAGGAAAATGCATTGTGGGAAGAATATTAAAAATGTTTGAAATCTTTTGGAAATTGGAAAGCTTGATAATCTACTTTCCATAGACAAGCTATTCTTTAGGCATTATAGCTTATTCCTTTGCAGAACTGCGTTTTGTTAATTGTACTTTAACAAATAATCCACTTACATAGTATTATTCAGTCATTATATAAGACAAAACCATTTGAAGAATCTCTTTTATGTCTACTATAAAACAGTTGCAAAGGACTTTACATACTGTATCTCAGTGACCTCATTCAGGGTCTTACATGAACAATGTGTCAAGAAAATTGCCACAACAGAGTAAATAAAAAGCATCTGCCCTTCTTGGGGTAAAAATAGGCAACTACTTATCAGGGTTCCCATTTTGTTCTGCTTGCAAGGAAGCTCAGAGCCAATTTTTATTCCTAATGTTGGGAACTATGTTACCTTCATGGTTATATTTGTTTCTTTCTTTGTTTAATCCAGAGTTTCTGCCTTATGAACTATATGTCCTTATGTACAGGCAGACTTACCTTTTTGAAAGAGACAGTCCTAAAAAGAAAACATAACAGTCTGAATATTCTCTTCTTTCTCGGCAAGCTTTTTTTCCCTGATGGTTTGAGCAAATGCCAGGATGTTCAAAAGCACAAGGAGAAATATTTCTGTTAAGATTTGGTGGAAACAAAAGCCATGAATATTTTGTTACTGGCAGGCAAGGCCATCTAACCCTGCTAAAGTTCTAGTTTGTTCACACTTGGATCGGTGGGCTTAGTTATTGAGGGGAAAGAAGGAACAGGTCAGTGGTCTGTACTGCCTCTCCAGGTAAGGCTAAAGTCCGGCTGGGAGAACATGACTTGGTCAGGACAGGGTGAATTCTTTGAGACTGGAGGCCGTGGGGCTTCTTTCAGAGGCCCCTGGGAGGATAAGGAGAGCTACCCTGAGATGGGTAGGAGCAAGCTGGGAGAAGCAGAAAGCTAGATATTGTAATTTGTGAATGAAGAGCAAGAGGGAAACTAGTTGGTCTCTTCAAATTCTGAAATGCTTGGGCCGGGGATTTAGCTCAGTGGTTCTGGTGCCTGCCTTGCAAGTGTAAGGTCCCGAGGTCGATCCCAGGTACCAAAAAAAATTCTGAAATGCTTTATCTATTTCTCTGGACGTGGAATTTTAAGTGAGGTTCATAATTGTTACTTTTATCCTTTCATCCTTGGACACTGCCTTATTTCTGATGTACCAAATATAAACAATTGCACTTCTATTTTGTACCTTAAAGAGTCCCTCACCAATGTTTATGCCTAAGAATCACCTAAGATTAAAAAGAAAAAGGCTCATCATGCAAATCCCTAGGATCCACTCTTGATCTACTTGAGTTAGGATTTCCAGGGATGAGACTAGGGCAACAGTGTTTTGAAGTTCCATCAGTGTACCACTGCCTCAGGGTTATGGTTTTTGGATGCCTTGTAAAATTTCTTGGATGTATAGTGAAAAACAGAAGAGTAGCTTAAGAGTTCTGGTAGCATCTAGGATTTTTATTTCTCTGAGGATCTGAGGGGTAGTATATCAAAACTTTTTTAGCCCTACTTTTCAAATAAGGAATTAATGCTTAAATTTAACTTATGAGCTCTCTTTAATGGCCTTGAGAAGTTTGCCCAAGCCTAAATTCCAGTATCTGTTGTAGACTAGTAAATGCCATCTTTGAATAAATGTAAGATGTTAGTATGTCTTTTATTGATATATAGTTGAAGCAATACATTCAAGGGAGTGAATGACATTAAGTTTACTCTGATTATATTTTCTATTTAGCAGGGGGCCTCTCTCACCACAGGATGTAGAATACTGGATCTTAATTGGAGAATCAAGTAGGAAACATCCTGCCATTCACTGTAAAAAGTATGTTAACTTTCCTTTTCTTTCTTTAATTGAGGTGAGGTTAGATGCAGTGAAAGGCACAGATCTTGATGCCTGTCAGTAAACGCATGTGTCTGTGCGGTCACGACCCCAGTCAAGACGTGGTATGTTTTACCACACAAAGCACAGAGCACCCTCATTCTCTGTTCCTACCCATCCCCGTGGGCAACCTGTGTTCTGATTTCTGTCGTCAAAGATTTGCTTTGCTTGTTCTTGAATTACATGTAAATGGAATTATAAAGATTCTTGTGTCTGTGTTTTAAACAATATATCTACACTTGATCTTAGCCAAAACGCCGAGGAGAAGTGATTTAAATAATATATCCAGAACTTTGCTTTTCCATAAAAATTTGAGAAATTTGTCAGTATCTGCTAAAAAGCCTGTTGAAACTTTCGTTAGGATAGAATCAATGAGACTCATAGTTTAGTTTCGGGAGAACTAACATTATAACAATCAGGAATCTCCCAATCTATGTACATAGACTGTACTTCCACTTAATTAGAGCTTTAATTTCTCTCATTTGTGCTTTGTATTTTTCAATATAGAGTCCTACATGCCTTTTATTAATTTTTTCCTGTGTGCTCTATTTTTGGTGCTATTGTGAATTGATTTTAAAGAAGTTTAATTGTCTATTTGCTGCTTATACAAAAAAAGCCAACTCATTTTCCTATATAGACTTTACATCTTTACCAAATTCACTTATCAACTCTAATAATTCCCTTGTAATACTCCTGGATTTGGTGGAGATATGTTGCCTTTTACTGATTTTCCAAATTTAGTTAGGCATCACCTTGCAGGTCAGTAGTTCCAGCTACCTGGGAGGCTGAAGCAGTAGGATTGGTGAAACCCAGGAGCTGAAGGCCACCTGGGTAGCACAGCAAGACTCCATCTCAAATGATCTACTTGATTGTAATGAAGAAGAAAATAAGGCATGCTGCTGCCCTGAGCCTGCAGGATGTTATTTAACATGTTGACATATATTTATTTTATAGGCAAAGAAACCAGTTGTATAAAAGGACCTTGACAATAGCTGGCTAAACAAATGGTCATAAAAAAGTTTTTAAAGCTTAGTAGATGGAACACTGCTGAGATAAGGGATTCTCTTCGATTATTGCTCTGATAATATGGTAGTGACTTGCTCTTGTGAAAAGTTCCATTACACTGGTACTGTGAACCTACAGAAAACTGTGCTGTATCTTCTTCTTAACTATAGATGGGCAGATATTGTTACTGACCTAAACACTCAAAACCCAGAATACCTGGATATCCGGCACTTAGAGAGAGGACTGCAGTTTCGAAAAACAAAGAAGGTAAGAACACCGTTTTATTTGAAGGCATTTCCCACAAGACCAAAATGCAGTATTTTACTCAGTACTCTTTAGGTTGTAAGTTACGACCTGAAGAAACTTAATTCAGGCCATTTTAGACAGACAAGTGAAACTTATTTTAAGGACATAGAGCTATTTAGAATTCAAGGGTGAGGAGCCCAGCCTGGAGTTCTAATGGACTGATGCCGGGAGTCAAGTAGCTAGTATTCTCTCATTCTGCTAGAGGCCACATGTTGTTCTTAGTTCTTCTTTTACCTGGTTATTTCTTGAGGATTGTGATCCTTCAATTTATGGCTTCCTTTCAGATGAACAGACTGAGACTGACCTGCCTTGACCCAGTTTCATAGTCCTAACCTATCTAGGGCCAAATTAATTGTGGTTGTGTGTACAGACAAGGCTGTAGGGGGAGCTTTCAGAGAAAAGTAGGTAGGAGGTAGGCACTGAGTAGATGCCTGAATCCTAAAATTATACTAATGTAAGAATGTGAGAAGAATGGGAGAGGAAGAATGGTCTCGGTCTTTGAATTAGGCAGGTGCGGTGGTGAAAGTGTGTGTTGGCAGTGAGCTGTGGAGAGGCATATACGGAGGAGAGCATTGCTTTGGTGACTGTGGGCTTTGTTAGATTTTGTAGACAGTTTTCAGGAAAGATGCATAGGATAATGTGCTGTGATAATATCTGAACAGAAAAGTGCTGTTTTCAGGCAGGTAAAAGAGCATTAAAACAAGGGAGTTCTGTTAGCTTTCTATGGATGTGGCAAAATATCTGATATAAATCAACATAAAGGAGGAAAGATTTATTTTGGCTCTTGGTTTCAGAAGTTTTGGTCCTAGGTTGGCTGGCTCCATTGCTGTGGGCCTGCGGCAGGGCATGACAGAGGAAAGCTGCTCACCTCATCACATCCTGGAAGCAAGAAAGGAAAAAAGCCCCAAAGAAGGGCCACGGACAAGATATAGTCCTCACGGTCACGGCCCCAGATTTCACTCCCTTTGACTAGACCTCATGACCTAAGTTTTCATCACCTCCCAGTAATACGATTTTATCCGTGAATTAAACCACTGATGAAGTTATATCCCTCATGAGCCAGGCTCCTCCTGAAAGCCTCACCTCTGAACACAATATAGACTTTGGGGGGATATTTTAGATCTAAACCATAATAGGAGTCTAAAGGGACCCACAAATTTATACACATTTCTTTTATTTTCTTCACCTAACTTGGTTTTTTTTGTTTTTTTTCTTTAGGTTGGGGGAAATTTGCATTGCATTATAGCATTCCAGAGACTTAATTGGCAAAGATTTGGCCTTTGGAACTTTCCATTTGGAGCCATTAGACAAGAATCCCAACCTCCAACACATGCGCAAGGAATTGCCAAATCTGAGAGTGAAGACAATATCTCCAAGAAGCAGCATGGGCGTCTGGGCCGCTCTTTCAGTGCTAGTTTCCATCAGGACTCAGCTTGGAAAAAGATGTCTAGTATCCACGAGAGAAGGAACAGTGGCTACCAGGGCTATGGTGATTATGATGGGAATGACTGAATATGCTGGGTACTGAACAACTCGTGTTACTCATACAGTGATTATGTACAGGACTACATTAAGACGGTAGAGATTTTACTGAGTCTACAGTAATAGGAATGGATTTTGTGGTACAAAGCATAACCTTGTAGTTCTCTAGTAAATAAGCTTATATATGATTATGATGGGTGATTTCAGATATATAAGCAGATAAGCACAGATTTTTGCCCTTTTAAAATGAAGAGTATATAAGCAATCTGGACAGAAAGTTTCATCCAATCAGATAAAATTACAACTGCCTCTAAACAAAAACACAAATTCACTTAACAGCATCCAGATTTGAAATACTTAAGCATGAAGTGATTTCTCATGACTTGATCCCTAGACATTTGGTACAGATAGTCATATTCCTAAGATCAAGATGTAAAGCACCATTTGCCCTTTAAGAACTCCAGTTCTTAAAGGCTGTCAATTTCTAGTTTTTGCTCATGATTAAGGCTAAGTTAAAATTATTTTGTGAGTCTAGTAGTTCTTTCAATTATAGTATCTTGTTTGCCTCATATGTTTCCTGTCTCAGGATTCTGAATAAAGAGGCAAAAGAGAAAAGACTCAAGAAACTGATCTTTTCTATTGGTGCAAATGGGTAACAGTGTATTGGTTCAGATATTCTTGACTCTAAACTTGGTATGTTTGGAGTGAATACTGACAAGAACAGTAGGTCTTGAAAAACTTGTGTAAGTCTAGAATAGGAATAGAGTCAAAGAACAAGTTTTCCATACTCATAGTAATCTGTGCGGGGAGATCTTCTGATACTTGATTGGTCCCTTACATGGAGTCATATGCTAACAACAGCATTGCAGATGCATTAGGAATGCCCCGGTCACTCAGAGGATAACTATCTGTATTCTAAACTGAGCAGTTTCCTTTTTTGAACTATATAGATAATTAGCTGTTTGAAGTGAGTGTTAAATATTTCAGAAGTTTGGATTTCATATACTTGAGCTCCTCTCTAGCTGCTGTCAGTTTTTCTGCTGCCAACCTGTGACTCATGAACAACTAGGATCTCTTGTTCTTTCATTTCAGGGCCTTGTTCTAGGACTGAAATCAGTATCTTGGTAAATACAAGGTGCTGAAAATATTGGTAACCATATTGCAATACACCTCAAGGAGAGGGTTCAGATTTTTATTTTTAAAATGTGTTTCTTTTTTTCTCTTGAATTTTATATCCATTGATCCACTCATATGTCTAGCCTACGGAAAGGGTTACATATTATGAAATGGTCATTTTTCTGAAGAGAATATTTTGCTTGAAATGCAAATGACTGAAAGAGATTTGTAGGTTGTTGATTTTGTTACTTCATACTGGAACTTTTAAAAAGTTTTCATCAAATAAAGTTTTGTTTTCTACTTTTAATCATGTCAGTGTTATTGTGCATTTGTTTTAGGTAGGGAGTAGCTATAACTTCGGAGTATATGGTAATTTGTCAGTTCTGCCTTACTTAGTATAAGAAACCATCTTCAATCATTTATAATCAGTAAAACAATATGCATTATCATGAGTATGATTTCAGCTTTCTATAAGACTATAATAGGAAATAGGAAATAGAAAAGTTGTGTTATTCGTGTTTTGTTTGTAACTGTAAAATTGTAATTTTTGTAGGTCAAACAGTACTGAATATCAGCTCTTTCATATAGCTTAGCTGAATATTTCGGAGAAAAGGAAGGCAAGAAGAGTCGAGAAGAAAGGAGAAGAATGCAACATAAAATATCAAAGAATAGGGTGAGCCAAGGAAAGGAGGATGAGTTTATTCAGTCTACACCCTGACCATAGCCAATTTGAAAAATAATATATGTAAGAGCTTAACAGCTTTGCTTACAAGCGTGGCAGTTATTCAGAGCACAGTGAAGTTTAGGTTTAGTGGGACTATTTCTCCAGAAACAAAAAGTAGACAAGAGCTACTGCATACTTCTTTGAAAACTATTAACATTCTTGTCCTATTTAAATTCTTGGTTAACTCTTCTTAGCAGACTCCATAGATACAATAAAGTTTCAACTATTAGCTCTGCACTAACTAGCATTATCAACTTTAGGCGAGTTAAGATGTTATCATTTCTGTGGTAAGTAAAATGGGAAAATGGTTTGCAAGAATACTTAAGCTAAAACATGTAATATTTATTTTATTTTTATTATCTATTTATTTATTTTTGGTGGTACTGGGGATTGAATTCAATACCTCCACACTTAGCTACATCCTAGCCCTCTTTTCATTTGCTAAATTTTGAGTCAAAGTTTTGGTAAATCGCTAAGTTGTCCAGGCTGGGCTCAAATTTGCAATCTTCTTGCTCAGCCTCCAAGGGTGCTGGGATTACAGGTTTGTACCACCACACCTGGCTACACGCATTGTTTAGAACAATGCCTTGTAGATAGAAAGTGCTAGCTGTTATTCTAAAAGACTTATGTTTTACTGTTCAGATTATTTACAGATAGTTCTTTAAACATCATCTAAAGGAGCTGAGTCCTTGTGAATCAAGTATACACTTTTTAGTTGCTGTTCCTTTAAAACCATTTTATAAAACAAGTATTGTTTTCACTGGGTGTCACAGCACTTGGGAGGCTGAAGCAGGAGGATGCCACAAGTTCATGGCCAATCTGGATTACATAGCGAGACCCTGTCTCAAAACAAAAAACAAAAATCCAAGAAAACACTATTGCTTTGTTTTTTTAAGTACTTACAGTACTCAGGTGTCTACACTAGCTGTTTGTTTTTACCCAGATCTCAGGCAGAAACAAAAAAGTTCATTTAAAGCAAATCCTTTAGCCATTTGTGTTAGTTACCTTTCTCTCTCATTGCTCAGACAAAATACCTGGCACCCAAAGTTAAAAGGAAAGGGGTTTATTTGGCTTACAGTTCGTAGAAGTTTCAGTCCATAATCAGCCAACTCCAAGGCAGGGATGACAAATAGGCATGGCAGAGCAGAAACAACATGGCGCACACAAGACAAAGGTAGCAAGAGGGTTTAACAGCATCTTTCTGCCCCTTTTAACTTATTCAGCCTACTGGATGGAATTAGGGCTGTGTCAAACCAATCACTCACATGTAGTGTTTTAGTAATCACACGCCCTTAACCCCAGGATCACACATTCCAGATTCAGCTACCTCTCAGAAAGAAGGTCCCACCTCATCTGCATGAGGCTTTGGGGGGGGACATCTAAACATAAACCATAACACTGTTCCATTTCCCACTACTGTCACTGTTACAGAGCTGTGCTCCTCATTAGGCCAATTTGGTGCAGCAGGTATAGTTTTTTCCAACTTGCATTCTCTCAGACACCGAATGGCTCAGGGAGCTGCTATATGATCCATTATATTCTTCCATTTCACTCACGGCATTTCCACCCTACCAATCAGTCACTCAAAAAACCAACATGAGCATCACTTTCTAGTGGGCATTTCATGTTAAAACTCTGGTCTCAGAATGGCCCTGGGAAGTTGGTGGCATTGCTATTTTGTTGGCAGGAACTGAGGATCTCTCTGATGAAGAAAAATGCCTAGGATCAGAGCACCTTAGTTTGCTAGAGCTGCTATGACAAAATACCACAAACTGGGTATCTTAAAAAAAAACAAAAATACTTTCTCACAGTTCTGTATGCTAGAAGTCCTAGACAAGGTTTTGGCAGGTATGGCTTCTTCTCAGGCCTCTCCAACTTATAGATAACCACCGTCTCTATGCATCTTCTTGTGGCCTTTTCTCTGTGTGGGAATCCCTGGAATCTCTGTTCAAATTTCCTTTTTTTCTAAGAATGCCAGGCAGACTGGATTAGATGCTACCCTAATGGCTTGCATTTATTTATTTATTTATTTATTTAGGTCCTGGGGATTGAACTGAGGGTCTTGAGCGTGCTAGGCAAGCACTGTGCATTGAGCTACACTCCTGGCCCTGTATTATCTCATTTTAATCACCCTTTAAAGTATGAAGGGTTGGGGCTTCAACATACGCATTTCAGTGGAGTACACAATTTAGCACTCCACAGCTATTATATGGTTCAAATGAGATGGGAACTAACATCTGCTTAACATCTAAGCAAATTCTTTCCGTAGGGTAGAAGGTGCACCAGAGAGCTTTAGATTGAAAGCTTGAGAGGTCATTTAGGCAGCATTTCTAAATTCCTGCTGTACGTCTGAAGTAGGGTTTATACCAGTCAAGACAGTTCTTGGTTTCAATAAATTTATAGTCTACTATGGGGAAGAGACAATAATTAAGTAGGTAATTATATTACTTTCGGTAAAATACAACTCTGAGCAATTTCTGTGGATCACTTTACACATGAGGGAACTGCAAAACGCATTTTGTAAGATTCATTACTGATGAACATGGCTACCACGAACCATTTGTTTGGACAGAATTTTTTTTGCTAAAAATTCTTTTGTGATGCATTTCTATTACATACAAGTTCTTTAAATCAACCTTTTTACTTAGTTTGAATCTAGTTTCAATAGCTCAAATGTGAACAAATGTGCACGCTAATACTATCATTTATTGAGTAGCTAGAACTAAGTTCTCTGCACACGTCGCCTCTAATCCTTACTTTAAAAAGCCTGAAAGGTTGGTTTTGTGCTGTTACAGATGAAGAACAAAACCCTGGACAAGTGTGACTTCAGCAATGCTAAGGTCGATAGTTAGATACGGCTAAGATTTGAATCTTGACCCAAGTGTTCACAAGCCAGATTTTCCTGGAGCTACTCTGGGAATTCATTTTTTGTCATTTCTGACCACAAGCTGTGGAAAACTACGCTTTAGATGCTGGATAAAACTAGAGACTATTTCAAGGGTAAAACTGTGAATTGTATTACCATCAAGATACTACATGCTACGTAACCAGCAGTTTAAAAACACCAAGAAAGAACCCACCTCTCTGTTGTCTCTACGTGAAACACAATACTCAGCCTTTACGACTGGCAGCGCAATGGGTAGAAAGTGATACTGAAAAGGCGGGTAAAACTCCTTACTTCAACAAGAACATCTCGTGTATACTTTTTAACAGCGATACGCTGGCAGTAAGGTGACAGCTCAGACCCGTCAAGAGGCAAACGGTGTAAGGAACCGCTCACTCCCGCGGCGCTACAGGAGCAGCAAATATACGCCATCCCGCAAGGCGGGACTTCCGTCCTGCGCATCATGTTCGACGGAAGGCGAGAGGTGCCATCCGTGTGGGTTTCCCGAGCCCTCGGCGGTATAATAGGAAGCTCGCTCTTCTACCGAGCACGTAGTGTAAACGTTTGGGTAGAAGCGCCGGGCCAGACTGGGCTGGGCTCCTCCTCGCCGCCGGCCATCCCGGGCCTGCTCTCTCTTCTGGGCGGCGCTGTCAGCAGCGGGGGAGCGCGCCGATGGGAGTCCAGGGGCTGTGGAAGCTGCTGGAGGGCTCGGGCCGGCAGGTTAGCCCGGAGGCGCTGGAGGGGAAGATCCTCGCCGTGGGTATCCGCGCCTGCGCACTCGGGCCCAGGGCCGGTGGCTGCCCACCCAGGACCCGTGGGGTGGGGACTCCAGGGTGATTTCCTTCTAGCTTTTTCCTTCCCCAGCTGTGCGGCCGAGCAGCTCCGGATAGGACTCCTGGTTTACCACTGAGGCCCGTGCTTTATGCCTCTCTGTGCTTCAGTTGTCTCCTCTGCAAGTGGCATAGCACAGGCTTGGTATGGGGAATCCTAAAGGAATTCCTTAAACGAAAGGGGTTTGGAATGGTGTCAGGCACCGTCAGTCCTGTGAATCTTTTAAACTCACCCCGGGTGGGAGGTCAGCACTGGAGGGAACTAAGTCGAATTCTGGCCGCTGCTTTTTAAAACAGATTTTTATTTTTATAAGTACATGTTTGCAGTATTTAGTGATTCATCGTGGGCATGTGGTACGTGGATGTAACGCATCTTAATTCCTTTTACTTTCCTTTTCCCCTCCCTTCATCTCTTGCCCCCTTTCCCATTTGCAGAAGACCTGTCTCTCTGCGTCCTGTTATCTTTTTTGAGACTGTGCAGTGTTGAAGCTCGTGTGTCCTATTTGTTCCACTTAACATTATCGTCTCAGGGTGCATCCACTTTCCTACAAATGGCTCACCTTTGGTTTGGCTTGCTCTTTTCAGTCTTGTTCCATGTATATTTCTTTTTTTCTTTTGCATTTATGTTTCTTAAACAGGAGGATAACGTGGATAGGTGCTTGACTTTTTTTTTTGAAGAGGTACAGTAACTTTTATCCTTTATGTGTTTTTTTTGGAATAAGTTCATGTGATAAAACTTTGAAAAGATTTTAAAAGATATACATAATTTTCCTCCAAGCCCCTGTGGTCGGCTTCTTAAGGACGATTGTTTGTATGTTTGACTGGTTTTGTGTCATGGGAATTAAATTTTTTCATTATGAAAAGATACTATTTTTGAAGTTTTGACTTTTTTGTTTGTTACATAATCCCCCACCTTCTTGGCTTAGGCATTCTCAGTAGCTGATGCTAATTCAAACCAGTTTCACAAGTTTCCTGAGTGAGGACCAGAAAGTTATGTCCGGGAATGAAAGACTGGTCTGTGTTGGGCAAAGAAGCCACTGACTGAGGAAGCACGCCATTAATTTTTAAAATGTAAGGTTATTTTTTCCCAAGTGGATAATTTGCAAATGTATTTAAAAGTTTTTGTTCAGGGTACCTTGAGCTGGGTGAAATGAAAAGTATTTTAAAATCCATGAGCTATGTTGCCCTCTAGTGCTGTCTGGATGTCATTGCATTGTAAAGATTTCTTGACAGCCTAGGGTAATTTTCAGTGAACGGAAACCCTTAAAACTTTAGCAAAGATTTTGCGGCTCTGATAAAGCATTAATTATTTGTAAAACCATTGAGATGACACTTGAAATTCAGCATTCTAATTTTTTAGGATGTCAAAGTAAGGAAGGGTACACCATGTAGTTTAGCGTATCTGTTATGTAAATGGTTCAGCGAGGCCCACTTGGGATGGGATGCCAAGCAGAAACAACCGAAGCAGCATTTATCCAATGCAGCATGAATCTGAGATAATACCAGCCCCTTCTCCTAAGGACCTGACCACTTCTGGTGTCCACTGCTGCCATCCACTCTTGTGTGGGTTGTTGCAACTACCTAAAAACTGGTTTCCTTATCATTTGTCCCTCTTGTGTTCCTAGGGTGATCCTTACTTTACTGCCCGGAAACCATCCCTCTGTGTACACCGTGCCCCACACACATCAGCTCCTCCTGTTTCTCCTCTCCTGCCACACAAGCCTTGAACAGGAGTGGCTTCTCTGCCAGGGCATTTACATTTGCTGCCCCTTTGTCTCTAGCTCACTACTGTCAAGCTAGATTGCTCTTACTTCTTCAGATGGGTCTTACCTAACTGAAGAGCCCTCCGCTCCCTACTACTCTTATCCTTTTACTTTGGTACTTTTTCTGTATTAGGAATTTTTTGGAAAGACTAGAGGAGAAAAGAGGCTATCTTGTTTACTTCTTACATTCAATTCTTTGTTCAGAGACTTCCATTTATCCCTAATTGGATATTTCTTATATTTCTACATATTAGGAGTTCTTCTGACAGAATCTTGAATATTGAGTGGCAGAGTAACATACAAGTAATATATTTTTATAAAAAGTGTCAGTTAACATTTTCCGTAATAAATAATGTACTAATTTTGGAAAGCATTTACTTGATGATGTACCTAAGTTTTAGGCTTCTTGGGGGGTAGGTATTAAAAGACATGTAACAGAAGGTAAAAATCGTTTATCAAATACATTGTATGAGTAATAGGGAACTCTGGGTGTGCTTAACATAAACCTGAAGGTATTCACTGATAAAACTAGTCTGAAAGCACACACAAATCACATTCTATAGGAAAAAGCTATTATCATTTAATGTATATATCGATTGCTGTATTTTTAAATTATCTTCCCCATTAGAATGCAAGCTTTTCAAAGATAGAGACTGTTTTGTTCACAGCTGTATTGTCCAATGCATTTCCCTAGTGTCTTGGTTATGCCTGTCACATGGGAGAGCTCAAGTATTATAGGAATAAATATAACAATAGCAAGTTTCCACTGCTTGTTTTGTTACATAGTATATAGACAGTTAATTGTTGATGGGCTTACATTTTTGATGGCAGTAAAAGTTAGGCAGTATGCAGTCATTTAAATTTTAACCACCTCGTTAAACAGCAGCTGTTTTTGCCTACTGTACGGTAAGTCCTATGAAAGGGAGGGACTCTGTGAGCGCAGAGCGAGTTCACAGCTTGTTTTCTCCTGCACCAGATCGTAAACTCCCTAAGGACAAACACCGTTTTGTTCACAGCTATATATACCCCCCCCAAGTGTTTAGAAAGATTCCTACTACATAATACTGTTGTTTTGAGTAAGAAGCATAATTAGTGGTCCCAAGCTAGGCTAGGGGAATGCCCCATAGGCTGAGACCCTGGAGAAGGAGAAACTAGGCCCAGAGAGGGAGAGGCTGTTGAAGCAGAGGACAGCGTGTGACAGCCTTGGAGGCAGCAAGCTCAGTGATTTCCAGGGTTTGAGGAAAGTGCAGTGGCTGAAAACGTGACCAGAGAGTGAACACAGGCCAGGTCATCCTGGGCTTCTGTAGGCCATAGGAAGAGCTTTGAATGTTACCTAAAGGCAAAAGGAAACTTAAAAGGGCTTTTAGTAACGCTGGAGTGCTTTAAAAATGTTCGAAGGTACAGCTGGTAGGACCTCGTGTGGCTGGGCGAGGGGAGCACTTGGGAGACACCGGCGTTCTGGCTCAGGCGAGTGGGGGTCACGGGTGCCGAGCTGGGCCTGAGCAGCCTCGTGGAGAAGACGCCCAGGTAGTGTGAAGTGTTTGTGAGGCGTCAGGTGGAGATGTCGCCTAGGCTGTCCTGTCTGGGAAGAGGAATCCCAAGGAAGATCCTTGAAGAAAACGCTGGTGTGAGTTCGGGGAGATGGCTGGGACTGAGAGCTGAAGATCCGGCAGCGTGCTGCGCTGGTTTTCCTTCCTGTCTTTCTTCCTTTTTTCCGTCTGTCCCTCTGTCCTTCCTTCCCTTTCTGTTTTTGAGAGAAGCTCGCCGTGTAGCCCAGGCTGGACTTGAACTTGCAGCGATCCTCCAGCCTCAGCCTCCTGAGCACTGGATGATAGGTGTATGCCACTACGCCCTGCTCATCCTTAGGAACAAACACAAAATACATTTTAAAGAGAAGTTGAAAAATATATGAAAACTTCAAGAAGAAAATATAAATCATCTTTAGTTTTAGCACAGGGAATTACTCTTAGTACTTTAATATCTGACCTTGTTTTTTATAATTTAATATATTACATGTGTTATAAATGGAGTTATGCTTTTTGTGACTCATTAAACTTCCTTCAGAAATATTTTTTGAGTATCTTCCTTGTCACTAAACATGCTTCTGCAATTTCTGTTTTTAAGAGCTCTGTGGTATTTGAGCAAATCAGTTTACAGTAACAGTTTTTGAAAAGACCTGTTGGCAAAGCTTTTAAATTATTTTTTATATTTTCATCATTAGATACAAATATTCATGTGACTATCTTATTGTAAATCCATAATGATTTCTTGAGCATAATATCTGGGATGGAATTCACAGATAAATGAGAATACAAATATTTAAATTTCTTTGCTATAAATTACCAAATTGTCCTTCAAAAAAATGTGTACTGGTTTACTAATTTTATAAAAGAAGCAATTCTTTGCCATTACGCCTTTTGAAGGACATGTCTGTCTCGCATGATTTTAAAGTTCAGTATGCAAATTGCAGCAAGGGTTGAAATGAGGCTAATTGAGCTTTGGTAGCAGGGCCAGACAGTTTTCAGAGTGGGGACGTGTGCTTATTAGTATTGAGTGTTTGGGGACCTCAGAATCAGGGAATTGAATTGTGCAGAAGAGGGAAGAAGTTGCAGAGTGTTTTTCTTTAACAGTTCTCTCAGATATTAGCATTTGGTTAAACCAAGCACTTAAAGGAGTTCGAGATCGCCATGGAAACTCCATAGAAAATGCTCACCTTCTCACTTTGTTTCATCGGCTCTGCAAACTCTTGTTTTTTCGAATTCGTCCTATTTTTGTGTTTGATGGGGATGCTCCACTGTTGAAGAAACAGACTTTGGTATGTATCGTTGAATTTTATTTTCTCTTTGGAATTTTAGTTGAATGCCCTTCATTTTCTTTTCGTGGTGCTGGGGATTGAACCCAGGGCTGTATCCATGCCAAGCAAGCGCTCTACCACTAAGCTATACTCCCTTTTAGAATTTCAGAAACCAACTTATTTTAATACATGGTCACTTTAATTTCAAGTGCTTTTTAGAATTTAACAGATAACAGTTTTTCTTTTTAAAAGATGTATATATTATATGAGAGAACATCATGGGAACAATGCTTTTAACTAAAACTATTAGAATCCTTACAATTGAGAGTTTTCCCTGTAGAATCTGTTTAGGTGTTTCACATTTATTCTACCTTTGCTGCCATTGCTTGTAACATTATGGGGAACCTATTTAGGAAATGTATCCCTCAATGTGGGATTGAATGTCCTTAGGGATATGAGCCTTCTTTTAGAGACAAGTTGGGTTTTAGGAGTAAGAATGCTGTGTGGTACCAGGTGCCGACCAAAGTGGGTTATCCAGGAAGTAAATTAGAAAAGAATGAAAACTATTTTCTTTACTGTCCTGGAAGGAGTTTTTAAAAATGTTCAAGCAGTTGAAATGCTTGCATCCTTTTGGACAGATGACTTTTCTATGTTGAAAATTGTCAGCTCATCACTTTATTATATTCATACCAGGCAGATAGTATCTAATTAAGTGGGGATGGAGGATAAAAGTAAGAATTTGCAAATGCTTGGACATTTGTTGCCTCTATAAAAATGTCTAGACTTGAATGTTGCAATTGCCATGATCTAAGAGATTCTCTGTATCAGGTAGGTTTTAGAAAGATTAGAAAAGAGGATGTCTTGGTTATTTGTGTTATATTCAAATGTAATAACAGAGATTTCCATTTATCCCGAATTGGACATTTCTTATAAGGCGTTTCTATAGACTTTAGAAGTTCTTCTGACAGAATCTTGAATATTGAGGGGCAGAGTTACATAGAAGTCATGAATTTTTATAAAAAAAGCAGTATCAGTTAAAGCTTAAAGAATAAATTAATATAATAATTTTGGAAAACATTTACTTGATTATATGGCTAAGTTTTAAATTTCTGGGGGTATAGGTATTAAAAAACATTTAACAGAAACAAACCAAATATTTTCTTAAACATTTTATAAGTAATAGGTGGAAACTGAGTGCCCTTAACATAGCATAAGCCTAAAGATATTCACTGATATAACCATAGTCTGGAAAGTCAGGCAAACCCAATTCGGTGGGAAAGAAAATCACTGAACTGAAATGTTTTTAATAGACTATGACTTTGAAGTCAAAGCTCGCATGTTTTCTGTTTACAGGCAAAGAGAAGGCAGAGAAAGGACTTAGCATCCAATGACTCCAGAAAAACCACAGAGAAGCTTCTGCAAACATTTTTGAAAAGACAGGCTATCAAATCTGCCCTCAAAAGCAAAAGGCAAGAGGAAATGACACGAGTTTTAGAGACTAATTTAAAAGCATCTCGTTTTTGTATTGAATTACTGTGGTTCTCTTTCCCTAACTTTAACTTTTAGTAGAAAACAAAGAGTGAAGGGAGAGAAGTAGGATGCCATTGGACCTGCTAATCTGAAATTGTGAAAACTCCCCCTTCTATAAGAATCAACTTTGCTGATACGTAAAAGCTGTAATGTTTCATAACCCGCACCCCCCATCCTTTATTATTTAATTTTTGCAGTGCTGGGGATTGAACCAGGATCTTGGACATGCTAGGCAGGCGCTCCGCCATGGAGCTCCCGGACATCCACAGCCTCACCTTTCCTGTTTGTAGAGCTCCTTTTCCTGTGGCCAAGGCTCTGAGGAGCCCCCGTGAATCTCTCCAGGCTGAAGTTGTTCAGCTTCCACAGCCCTGGTGGACCAGGAGGTGGAGTCGGGCCAGGAGGAGGAGCCACTGCCCTGGAGCAGGGATCCCTTATGCAGCGGGAGAGGATCATTGGCTCAGAACACTGTTGTGTCAAATCTCTGTTTAAAGTTGCATGTACTTTTCAGAAATGAAGCCCTACCCAGTCTTACGGAGGTTCGAAGAGAGGACATCTATGCTTTGCCCCCCTTACAAGAGCAAGAAAAACACAGGTAAATGCATGTGTAAGAAAAGTACTTCCGTCACTGTGGTATTCCAAAAGTGTTACGCGTTCTTGTTTTGTCGTGTGGGAAGCTGGGAGGGAATGGGTTAGTGCAGCTGAAATGCCCATTGTCTGTACCCTTTGGAATATTTTTCAAAGATTAAATTTTTTATTTTCCACCTTGGCTTTGTGTTTTGGTGATCTGTGATTCATTGTTCTTTTTCATACCAAAGAGCCTCTGCTGACCCTGTGGATTTAAAATGTAGGAAGACATGAATTTTGGTTTTTCTTACACTTTGCCTATACTTACCACCTCTGCCTGCTTCTTAGCCCAGTGTTGTCTTCCTCACCACCATGTAAAATACCACACACAGCATCCTTGTGCTCAATCCAGTAGACTTCTCCGCCCATGTGACACTGTGTCTTGTCAGCCCAACCGACTCTCACCATCTTTCCGCTGCTGCTCCCTGACTGCTCCTTGGATGCCTCCTCCTCTGGCTGGCATGAGTTGTACACGGAGAACTGAAAGTCTTGAAAATCTGTCTTTGTCCTCAGGGCCCCCAGAGCCCCTTTGCGGGGCTCCTGTGTAGAGCAGGCTTTGCGTTGGTCCAGTTCCTCTCCCTGCCATGGCTGCCACAGCTTCTTTCTCCGGTTGCTGGAGTGGCTTCACACTCCTGTCTCTGTCCTTGATCTTACCCCTTGTGCAGTAACCTCTCCCTGACACGTCCAATCTCTGCTTTGTAGGACAGAAGATATTTGAAAAGCATACCTGTTATTGTCATTTCCTTAAAAGCTTTCCCAACTGCTCTTTTCTTCAGGATAAAACTTCAGCCTCTAATCGCAACTTCTCCACTTCGTCCTTAGTTTCTTCAGACTGTCCACGGAGAGGCTTTCGTTTCTTTGTTTCCGGATAGTTGTAGAACTTAGTTCTTCTGATAGGCAAACCCTCCAGGAACCTTTCCATACCCTATCACTGGTCCTGCTGCACTTACTTGTGGCTGACTCCAGCCGTAGCAGTTGCAGGAGATTCCAGAAAGTTTCATGACTCCCCGAGTTAGGGGGACGTGCCTCTCCTCATGGCACCTAAACCAACCAGTGCTTCCCTTTGGCGGAACTTTTGAGGCCGTGTTCTAATTGCTCACCACATGTGTCCCCCCGGGGGCAGCAACACTACTGGCAATGTGGGTCTTGCTGTCTTAGTCTGCAGCCCTGTAACTAGTAGCACCTGGTACTCCAGAATTAGTTTTGTGGGCAGTCATTAAAATCAGAGGTGTTATAAATATGTGCTTGACTTTCAGTTCAGAAGAGGAAGAAGAAAAAGAATGGCAAGAAAGAATGGATCAAAAGCAAGCATTACAGGTATTTAAATACTTTTGGAATTGAGAATTTTTTTTGTTGTTTGAAATGAATGGCACAAAAATGAATAGTACCAGTAAGGTAATGTGAATTTATGGAGATTCCAATAAAAGACATGCCTTTTTATTATGTACTCGTGTATGTGTGTATATTCATGTGTGTACTACACACATATATGGAATTTACCATTACGTACATCTGTACACCCAAACTTTTACAGTCAAACAGTAGACAAGCCAATAAATAAATACATGTTTGTGTGAATACAGAAAACGTATCATCTGTAAATAAGTGATACATCAAGTTGGTGTATTGTAGATCATTCCCTCACTTCATATAGTTGAGTGTGTGTGTGTGTGTGTGTGTGCGTGTGTGTGTGTGTGTGTGTGTGTGGTTACTGGGGATTGAATCCGGGGCTTTAGCACCAAGGGTCTGTATTAATGGAGCAGGTGATAGCTGGCATATGTATGGTGGCACATGCCTGTAATTCCAGCACTCCGGGAGGCTGAGGTAGGAGAATCATAAGTTTGAGCACTGCTCGAACTTAGTGACTTGCAACTTAGTGACTTAGCAACATGCTGTCTCAAATGAGAAGAAATAAAAAGGGCTGGGGACATAGCTCATTGTGAAGGCCCTGAGGGCCTTGCACTTGCTGATCCTTCAGCTTAGGGTACTCTGCCCCCAGTCAGCATTCTTGGTGTCCTTCAAGTCCCTGGGAACAGGTACTTTTTCTAGAAGGGTTTTCTCTGTCATATAAGTATTTTCTCTTCCCGTCCTCCTCATCACTGTTTTATCAGATTAGCCTGTTTGATATCATCTTGTTTTTTAATTTACTTACTTATTTACCATGAGCCTTCCTCACTGCTAAGGTCAGGGCCCTCACCCAGCACGGTCTCCACAGGACCCTGGCACCTTAGCAGAGGCTGGGGCCTTGGAGATGCTGCTCAGTATTGTTCTGAATGGATGCATCCCCTACTGTTCCTTCACTTTGATGCCTGCTGCAGGTTATATACCCCTTATACCCCTGTGTTTAGCTTCTGTGTTGATGATCTAAACACAGTCTGTCTCTGTAACAGTGACTAGAACTCAGTGCATGAACTACAAATGTCATGGTGTTGTGTTTTGCTCTTTACAGGAAGAGTTCTTTCATAATCCTCAAGCAATAGATATCGAGTCTGAGGACTTCAGCAGCTTGCCCCCCGAAGTAAAGCATGAGATCTTGACTGATATGAAAGAATTTACCAAGCGAAGAAGAACATTATTTGAAGCAATGCCAGAGGTGAAATATACACTTAATATACAAGTATACATTAATGCTTAAGACTTAAGAGCTTCAAAACTTTTCGTTAGACGAAGAGAAAATCTATAAGCAGTACTTACATAATATCTCAGTTTCCAGTAAAGAGCATTGATGTATCTCAGAGATCCTGTGAAACATCATTTTTTTATAGGTTTAAACTGATAAAAACTGACTGACTCAAAGAAATCTTTGTGACTTTCCACCCAAGACGAGGTCTTTTCTTCTCCATGTTCTTAGAGAATCCAGAAAGTGTCTGTCTCGCTCACTTCTGTATCTTCCGCTGTGAACTCAGTTTCGCTCACACAGTAAATGCTGGGTATGTGATGAGTGGTTCAAGTCTTCAGTTAGTTCCCTGAATCATAACAGTTAATGGTATGGTGACATTTAAACACAGTGGGAAAGTGTGTCCTGGCTTGACTTTCGAGGTATATTTTCTTTTGCTGTAGCCGTGGAGATGCCATTGGGCCGCCATGTTTCCTCCCCTCTTTCTGGACAGTGGGAATCGAGCTTCTTCAGCTGGGAGCCCCATGGTGGTTTCCCAGCCACAGGAGGCTGGAGTGGGGGTGGCGTGTGGAAGCCAGTGTTGAGCAGGTGTTGGCCTTGCTACCTGCCATTGGTTACTTAATTCCATGCCACCATTAATTACTCACCCACTTTCACTGCTACTGAATGAGCTCTGTTTCCTTTTCTGTCGTCACCACCTAGTATTTCTAATATAGTTTCTTTTAATCCACTCTAGGATAGTGTGTTAATTTTGCAGCCTTATTGAACTGATGTAGTGTTTTAAAAAACGTTTTAAACTTTTGATTACATCTGAAATTGATATCAGAAATATCAAAAAGTCAGGCTGTCCCATCACATCCTTCTCTTTGTCCATATAGAATGTGAAGACCAGGAAACACTGAGGTGCACAGAAATGATATTCTTGTGTCTTTTGATTTTATAGGAGTGTATTTATTTATTTATTTATTTATTTATTTATTTTGGTACCAGGGATGGAACTCTGGTCCTTGCGCTTGTGCAGCAGGTGGCTAAACCCCTGGCTGGAGTGTATTTATTTTTATTTCAGGAGAAAAACTCCAGACTCCATCCCAGGCTCCATCTGCCTGTCGGGCATTTTGTTGTATGAGTGGAAAGGATCTTTGTGTAGTACTTGAGGACATGGGATTTGGGTTATGCAAACATGAGTGAGAAGGACTGGAGAAAGACAGTCCCTGGTGATTTTATCTTCTTTATTCTCTTTCTGCAACCATAGTGTCTCAGGTTGGCAGGCTATAGAGTAATGTGGGATAGTGTCTGATGATCTGTAATTTTGGTGGAGTAGAGAAATTCTGACTCATCCAGGTGGGACGTTTGTACCCTCTGTGCCCTGTGCAAAGGGGACACTGATCGTAGGAGTTGATGGTAAGTAGTAGTGATGGTAATGATCATGATAAATAGACCCAAGGATAGCAAATCAGTCTGCTTTGGATCCTGGGTCTGCCACTTATTGGCCACGTATCTCTGGGGTTACTCAACTGATTGAAGTCTTGATAGCCTCATTTTAGAATGGAAATAATGCTGTGTCTCCTTGAATGATTGTGAGAGTAAATTGTGGTTTATATAAAAATACCTAGAAGAATGCCCTTTATGGGAAGTGCTTTGTAACCATTAACTGTTATCATTAATAGCTCCCATAGCTGTGACTTAGGGTCTTCTACAGGCCAAGGGTGCATGCCTAACCTGCATTTTAGAGGACTGTGTGTTAAAGCCATAATCAAATGTCCTAATACTGTCATACATGACATGCTTGGAGCGTACTTTTAAGTACATGATTAAATATACAGCATTTATGATTTCTTTCGCTCAAGTCCTTTTGTTTTAAATATGTTTTTAAAGGCAGTTACAGTTTTTCCTAGTATTCAACTTTCACTTTTATAAAACTACCACTAATGAAAAGGAGGAAATTTTTTTTACCCCTTTTGGGGAAAGAGGTGGCTATCTGGTAATATTATTTGTATTCAATGTAAGACAGTTTTATTTACTTCACCTATAGGAGTCCAATGACTTTTCACAGTACCAACTCAAAGGCCTGCTTAAAAAAAACTATCTAAACCAGCACATAGAAAATGTCCAAAAGGAAATGAGTCAGCAGCACTCAGGACAAATCCAGAAGCAATATGAAGCCGAGGGGGGCTTCTTGAAGGAGGTGGAGTCGAGGAGGGTGGTCTCCGAAGACACCTCGCACTACATCTTGATAAAAGGTATTGGGCACCATCGTGTATTTGACAGTCCAAAACGAAAGTCACCTCACGGCTCTGAGGTTGGTAAACTCCCACCTCGGTGTGCTTTTAGGGGTATTCTGTTTACCGAACAGTAATTATACACAGCGACTGATGGATGAACGATGACGGTACCACCCTGCTTCACAATGAAGTAATGACTTACCTCAGTTCATGATTAAATGGAATTGGAAGCTTCCTAGGAACCAGCCTTCGCTTGTCCGTCGCACTAGACGTAGCGTGTCACGCTGTAAAACTGTGTGGTGAGAAATGTTCTAATTTTTCTTAAGGTGTTCAAGCCAGGAAAGTTGCAGCCGTGGATTCAGAGTCTCTCCGTCCGTCCAGCAGAGGGCACAGCGAGCGTTTCGGCCTCAAGTCGTCTCCTGGTGAGGAAGCAAAGCCAGAGAAGGAGCTGGAGGCCGCGCCGCCCTCCCCGAGGACCCTGCGGGCCCTGCAGGCGGCTCTGCTGGGGAGCAGCGAGGAAGAGGAAGAGGGGCCGGACGGGCGGCGCAGCACGAGCGGAGCCTCGGCCACCGCGGGTGACGGCCCCGTGTCGCCCCGGAGCCTCTCTGCTATCCAGAGAGCCCTGGACGGGGACGAGGACGGGGACGGGGACCAGGACCTGGACGAGGACGGGCAGCTGCACGCCGGGGGCAGCGCGCAGGCGGCCCAGCCGGCAGAGAGAGCGCAGCTGCGGCTCATTGGCCGCGAGGCGGGCGGGGAAGGGGCCCTGCGGCCTATGGTCCTGGCTGCAGCCGGCGGCCCTGGAGGGGAGCCTGTGGCCGGCGGTGGCGGTGGCGGTGGCCGTGGCGGCTCGCAGGCTCCTGTGCAGCCGGCCTCGCCCGCTCAGGCCAGGGTGGGCTCTGCGGCTGAGGGGCGCCCGGGGCCTCCCCTCCGGGATCCCGGCCAGGGTGCACACAGCGATGCCCCTGGGCCGGGGCCGGGGCCGGGGCCTCCCTGGAGCCCAGGTCCCGAGTCGGGGCCCACATGCCGCAGCCGGGAGCCCAGCCCATCCGCCAGCCGGGGCCGGGCCTCCGCTCTGCCGAGGGACGCCCCGACCGAAGCCGGGCCGGGCCCTTCCTCCCGCATCCCCGGCGCAGCCGCTTGGCCAGACTCGAGGGACACGGCAAGTGTCGCATCGCGGGCAGCTGCGAACTTAGAAGACGCAGGGCCGTCCAGCGCCCAGCAGCGCGGACATTTCCCGGAAACCGTCCAAGAATGGGAGAAAACTGAACTGGCGGCCCGGGAGTTCATTTCGGTCCCGGAGTCCTTGGAGCCGGCGGAAAGGGACTCTGAGGAGAGCGAGTCCGACGGTGGGTGCCTGGGAGCCATCTCCTTTAGGGCCCACGGGGCCAGGAAGGGAGGGAGGTGATTTCCACCGACACCCAGCTGCCACTGGACCTGGTCCTCCCTGCTTTGCTATTCCTTTGTTGTTGCTGTCTTTAAAAGGAGAAAATGCCCTTGAAGAAGTAAAACTAGCTCTTTTTTTTAACTTTTAATTTGAAATAATTGCAAGCTTTAAAAAGAAAGAATATTACAGAAAAGTCTGGTTCCTTCATTCAGAGCCTCACTGGGTGGCATTTTGCCATTTATTTTATTGACTATCTGGTGTGGCCACGCTTTCTGTCCCCCCCCCCCCATCTGTGTCCTGGGGTCTGTCAGGTTTACAGTCTAAAGTTACCGTTGTCCCCTTATAATGAGTATGTTGTGGAAAGGAATTTAGGGGCCATGCAAATAATGCTGCACAGGAACAAACCTTCCCCTGCTTATTTACCATCCCATTGATGATTTTTATCTGAACTAATTACTGTTATGGTGACTGCCAAATTGTGGTTTTCTAGCTCCATCATTCCTTAAATGTTTGCTAGTCCGCATCCTACTGTAAGGAAGATCTTTCCTTTCTCATCTTTTAAAATCAGTGTAGACTCTGGATTTCTGTTTTATTCAGTGAGTTATACTCGGACAATGTCGTAATTTGCTCCGCTGCTCTCACTGTCTGAGCTTGGCCAGTGGGGTCCTCTCTACGCTGCTTCCTCTGGCTTTTCACAGCTCCCTACTTTATTTTGAGCATTTCCTTGATTTCAGGCCAAGATGTTCCGGGCTTATCTTATACTTACCCTGCCCAGCCCTGGCTGCAGACATCACACCGGCAGCCTGGTCCTTTCAGGGGGGCCAGATGTTCAGAAACCAGGAGCAGGATGGTGGGTGTGCTCACCGAGAGCCAGGAAACGTGTCTGTGGACACATTGCTACCTATTTCTGTGTCTGTTGATTAAGATCCATGAGTTCACATTGATACCCATGATTCAGTCCAACATCCCAGGAGTTGTTCCAGCCTCCTCTTTTACATTTTCCTCACAGTGAGAAACCTCTCTCCCCTGTTCCTCCATGTATTTGCTTATGGGCTCCTTTCTTTATATCTCATCTTCTCCCTATCCCACTGTTGCCTCCTTGGTCCCAGCCCCTTCCTCTGTCCTAATTGTCCACTCAAATCCAGCCAGATAGGCCTTACCTGCCCGCTCCACTGAGGGGAAGGAAAGGAACCAATGCACATTTTTAAAAGAAAAAGACAAGAGGAGGGAAAGAACTCAGGAGAGGAAGAGCTATTTCTCCTGAGTACCTACTAGGATTCTTTTAGTTTTATTCTTTGCTCTGCGTATACTGAAATAGCATTAAAACACTGAACAACCTACATGATTGTCTGTATACTTGTGCTTTGATAATTCTCCTTTTTGAACTCAACATCAGTTACCTTAGAACAGAGGTGTATAAAGCTAATATTAAAGTCTTTGAGCATTTGGTTTCTACTTTCAAAGGCAGTTATCTAATTGAAAAGGCTTCTCTTGAAGTTCTAGGCATTTGCGATTACATTTGTTTACTAGTAGCAAGCTATTTACATGTTTCTTTTGATGTACAACATTTTCCAAGATTCTTCAGAAATTTCTGTACGGTTTCAGGATAACTGTCAGCTGTATAGGAGGTAACTGTATTATTTTGGTGCAGGGAGTTTCATTGACGTGCAGAGTGTGGTCAGTGACGAACTTCAGCCTGAATCGGATGAAGCTTCTAAACTCCCCGCCAAACCCCAGGAAGAGGAGCCAGGAGGAACTAAGGAGGGAGAACCCACTGGTGACACCCAGAGCCCCCTACAGGTCGCCTCGGAAAGTGAAGCCTCAGGCGTGGATCCTTGTAAAGAAGATGAAAAAGATGCAGAAGACTCGTTCAATGAATGGCAAGATATTAATCTGGTAATAACATAACGCTGTGTTTTAACTCTATTGCCAAGAAGCCGGGATGAGTAGCTTTTGCGTTTTAGACGGTTGCTTGGATGTCTGTTAGCTCGTCACGGTACGTCTTGCTGCTGCCAGTTCCTGTTTCATGTAGGTGACTCTGGGTTAGACCACACTTTCCACATGAGTCAGGAGACAAAAGGAAAGGCAGAATTTTGCTCAGAAATCCAAGTGGAATCCTTCCTAAGAAGGAAAGGCTTGTTGGACGAAATGCGGGCTTTCTGTAACAAATGCACCTAATTGGATTAATATACTCACAAACCAAACAATCATGTTGTAGGAGGAGCTGGAAACCCTGGAGAGTGACCTTTTAGCACAACAGAATTCACTGCACGCACAAAAGCAGCAGCAAGAACGGGTGGCGTCCACTGTCACAGGACAGATGTTCCTGGAGAGCCAGGTAGGTGCGGAAAGCCTTAACGGGCGACTTCCGCAGCGCATGCGCTGAGTGACTGCCGAGGCGCGGCGCCCCCTTGTGGTGAGGGCCGGCTGCATTTCCCCGGGGCCCCTGTCCCTGTCGCCGCAGGAGCTCCTGCGCCTGTTCGGCGTCCCCTACATCCAGGCGCCCATGGAAGCCGAGGCGCAGTGCGCCATCCTGGACCTCACCGATCAGACCTCGGGAACCATCACCGATGACAGTGATATCTGGCTCTTCGGCGCACGGCATGTCTACAAGAACTTTTTTAATAAAGACAAGTTTGTGGAATATTACCAGTATGTGGACTTTCACAACCAATTAGGTAAGACTTCCATGGTAACTTTCTGAAATTTACCTTGCAATTTATCGTACGAATTTTCTTTTCGGGAACTAGATTGGGTACATTAATGGAAATGGTAGCTCCATACAAGTTTTCAAAGAATTGCTTATACAGAGGAATAGGATTTTTAAAAGTATACTTAAGAAGTTAAAATCTGAGTACATTTCGGCCTTTCTGCAGATTGCTCATCCCAATTGGGTTAGTTGACCAGTTGCCAAGATCTCCCGAGTGGACCAGGCTGGGAGAGGGGAAGCAGGTGACGTCCGGCCTGCTCACCGGCCTGCTCACCGGCCTGCCTGGGCATTCCTGGGGTTGATGTCCATTCTCCCGCTTGTCCAGCAGTTGTCTGCGTGACTCCTGTGTCCTGGTTGTGCCTGACAGTGGGAAGACAGCAGAGAGTGAGGCGGTCTAGTGAGAGAAACAGCTGATGAACAAATACATTGTCATAATTGACAGTTGGCAGCGTGCATCCTGTAGAAAAGTCCAGCAGGAAAGAGAAGGGAGATGTAGTGAGAATGTGCGAGCTCTTTCCAAGAAGGGCTTCCTCAGGGCAGCCGTACGGAGGTGGGGAGCAGGTGCCGCAGGTAGGTAGGTGGGTGTCTCCGCAGGGAGCTCCAAGGCTCTGCCTGTGTTCCAGGGAAACGGGCGGTGTGATGCGCGAGGAGGGCGGGAAGAGCCACGCTGGAGACCGGGAAGGGTCTCAGGTCAGGGGATGCGATGTGCTGCAGAAGGAGCGAGGCTGGAGGCGGAGGAAGCCCGGAGGAGCCTGGCTTCTGAGCAGCTGGGAGTGGCCTTGCCCTCGGCGGTGGCAAGGGAGGCCGAGGAGGGAGCGGAGCCGGGGAGGAAGAGAGGTTCTGGGCTCTGGACGTGTGACGTGGGTGCCCGCTGGGTGTGCAGGTGCTGAATGTGGTAGAGCTCCACGGTAGAGCTCCAGGCTGCAGCGCTCACAAGGTCAGCACGCAGAGGGAATTTAAAGCTATGACGCTCGTTGACAGTACGAATATTAGTAGAATGCCATTTAACAGTCATCACTTTTGAATCATAAAAAAGATGTCTTTGGCTATTAGATGAGGCTATGTATACACACAATTTATGCAATTCACTGTTTCTGAAGTACTAACAATAATAATGGTTACTTTTGTAGGATTGGACCGGAATAAATTAATAAATCTGGCCTACCTGCTTGGCAGTGATTACACGGAAGGAATTCCAACTGTAGGTTGTGTAACTGCCATGGAGATTCTCAATGAATTTCCCGGACGTGGCCTGGACCCCCTTCTGAAATTCTCGTAAGTTCTTTCTCGTTTTCTTAATTCAGATGTTTTTATAGATCATCAAGTTAGCAAATAGAACTATTTTTTAAGTCATGAGCTGTCACTAATCATTACTCACTGAGAAAACAGGAAGAGTATGGCTGAGGTTACTACAGTTCTTATGAGAGCAGACTCCGTTTCCTCCTTTAGCTCACAGGTCCCGCAGCGTTCAGAGCGGTGTCCTAATTCCCCTTCCGTTCATTCAGAAGCCGCCTGAATGGCTTCTGTGTGTCAGGCCCTGGGACAAGAAGGATGATGAAGGCCTGGCCTCTGCCCGCCAGGAGCTCCTCGTGGTCTTGGAGATGGACATGCGAACGTAATGGTTCTGCCGTGTGTGTGGCATCTGGGCAAGGTCAGCCAGCAAAGAATGTGGAAATAGAAGGCCAGGAGCTTTAATCCCGGCAGCTGTCCTGCTGCCTCCCATGAATGCCATGACATGGCCAGTGGTAGAGTCTCGCTCTGTCCAGAGCCCAGAGCTGAGCTGCACTTGCGGACAGCCTTCCGATTCGGGGACTCTGTGGTAAGGGTTCTGAGGAGGTCTGGACAGCAGCTGCTTCTGGGGCCGGGGCAGGACTAGCTTGGTGCTACGGCACCTGCCTAGGGTACACAAGACCCGAGCGAGGCTCAGCCCCAGCACTGCCCCGGGCAAGTAAAATTCTTTCTTCAGGTTTGCCCTCGATGGCATCTTTTGTTTAAAGTTTGGAATATAGTTTCCATGCCATAAAATTTATCCTTTGACCTGTATCTTTTTGCACTGTAATTTTCCATCAGTTCATGTTTGTGGTCCGGAATGGTTACATCCCTCGCGGAGCGGGTGCGCCAACACAGCAATCCTAGCTCTTTTTATCACCCTCCTCTCCCGCCCCTTCCCCCTGCCATGTCTCGCTCGGTCCCCTTCCTTTTGGCAATTGAGGTCAGAAAGTATCTGCTGCACCCGGTTAAGCGAAACAGCAGGTTATAAGAGAGTTTACGGGGCACCACCAGGTTTTGATTTCTAAAAGCGCATTAACGCATAGAGATTTGAGGAAATCTTTAATGGATAGCAATGTCAGCAAATGGTGTTCGCTCAACTGATTTCCTCTGTCCCTGGGAATGAGACCCTGAGCACATTTTTCTTTCTGTTTGAGTAGTTTTTGACTTGTGCTGTTATAAAATGTCCTAAGTGGAAGAGATGAAGAATTGCTATAAATATGTGAGGTGTTCATGTCAAGTAGAGTGGTTATAGTAATCCTTTTACAGCGTATGGTTTTGAAGGTCAAACCATATTGTATACCTCAAATATATATGACTTTTTTGTCAATTACAGTCAAAGTGGACAACTCAGTGGTGCTTAGTATATTCATTGGATTATGATGGCATCTTTTGACCAGCAGTTTGCGAAGAGATACTTGGGTGGTAACTGATTTAATTTAGTGATCAATTTTATCTGCAGTGTTTAGAAAATGCAAGGGCAGTCTTGTCTGAGGACGTGGTGATTAGAATCACTGAAATGGAATGAGGAATTATTGCAATGACCTCTGTCCAGTCTTAGCACACATACCGGTGTCTCTCATTTAATAATGCTTTAAAAATCTCTACTCACACTTTTCTTATGGTTGGGGAAATTTATAAACCATGGATAGGTTATTTGGTAGCTCCTAGATCACTGTGGGTTAATAACTTGAAAAACTACAAATAACTTTATTATACAATAAAAGAAATACATAATAGAAAAATTACAAAGTATGGATTAAAAAATTACATTTAACATTTTGGGTTATGTAGTTTTAGGATTTTTCTGTACACATTATACTCAAATTATATATTTATATAATATATAATTTTAACAAGAGTGGGACAGTGCTATGTTCTTTCTAGTCAGCTTTAGCAGTTTCTGCTTTTCATCTTCTGAGTCCTTGAAGCCAGACAGGGGCAGTCTGAGCCCTGGCTGGCTCGGGAGGCTGAGGAGGTAGCAGAGAGAAGGCCTGAAAGGATGGTGAGAAACTGGAATGGATTTTATGTGTGGTCTTGCTTTCTTTTCTGTCCTCTTAAGCAGATCCCGGCTAGCCGTTCCTTCTTTCGAGTGGGGCTACTTCGGGCCGGCAGGCCAGGTTCAGTCTCAGGTGTGCTTGGCTGGACCCGGACGGTCTGCCCTTTAATTGGGTGTTAGTGTTGAGCTGTGTCTGGAAGTTTACATTTAGGGAGATTCCGAACACAAAGAGATCGTTGGTTGTCGTGAGGAGAAAAGAGAGCTGAACGTTGCGGACCCAAGTTCTCCAGTAGCCCCAGGGCCACCTGGGTTGGAACACTAGCACTTCCCCGGTGTGAATCCTTCAGGTTCCTCACATGTGTCCCCACTGTGTCACCACAGCTAGGCAGGTTGACAGCCACCACCCTTCTTTCATCTCACAGTGAGGGCCTGGCCCTCTCGCTTTAAGGAGTAATGGCTTTTGGCTTGATGAGTTCAGTGTTTTAGGCAGATTCTCTTAGTTGTCAATCACAATTACTGTTTCAAAGATGAAAATTTACAAGTAAAGTGGGGGAGGATTATAGGTATTCTCCCAGTGCACTCTTGGAAGCAGTATTATAAAATGTATGTTTGAAAAAAAAAGATTTTTTGCAACTGCAACAAAGACTGCAATTAGTTTTTCGAACACAAGGTGGCACTCTTGCACCGGGGAGCTGAAACAAGCTGAGCGCTCGCCGAAGTAAGTTCCTGAGAGAATACCATGGTCAGGCAGCAGTGCTGAGATGTAGGTGTCCTTTAACAGGTTCCATTGAGTGCATGGATTGGTGAGGATTATATTTATGTTTTTAACTGTGATGGTGTTTATTTTTCCCAGTGGTATATACTTTTGATTTTCTTTGGTTTTCTGTTGGTGCGTTACAGACTAAAATCGTAGCGGCATCAGATGGCAGCAGTCATTGCTTTTGCTCCTGAATCTGAAGTCAGCCCCGTGGGAGTGTTTCCTTTCTGTTCCGTGTCGGTTGGGTTCAGGGCTTTGCCCAAGGTGGCTCACACATGATGGCCAGGTGGTACTAAGGCTGAGAGAGCAGACCGAGGAGCTGTGGCTGGGGCCGTGGAGCCTCTCCCGGTGACTCTAAGTGAATGTGAGCTTTAAAGGGCAGGGTGGCTGCTTCCAAGAGGAAACATTCCCGGAGGCAGGAAGGGAAAGTGGAACCAACGCCCCGGGCCCTGCCCAGCACCACTGACTGACGGTCATCCTGGCCAGTCAGAGCCTGCCTGGCCTCCCTTCTTGGTGGAGTGCCCAAGAGTATGTGGTTTTCTTTAAGCTACCATAGTAAAATAGAGTTAGAATGAAAAAATTTGAAAAATGGGTAAAATATAAAGAAGGAGATGAACAGCTGAATTCTTGCTTGGAACATTGCCTTGCACATAGGAAAAGTTTCTATTATTTTAAATATCTGTTTACTCTTTTCTTTTTCTCCATATATCCCCTCCCCAATTGATGGCATGTTTTGTGTTGAATAATGTTTCACTGAATATTGCTGCATCCATTGGTTAATTTGACTAGGGGTAAATAATGCAGATACATTACTTCCCTGTTACCGCTGGGAGAGACCCAGAGAAGCTGTGAGTCCTGAGGCATTGGGATTAGGAGTGAGCACCCTGAAGAGGAAGGTTGTCCCAGTTTCCCACTTCCAGCTGTGCAGTCTAGAGCAGTTCTGTTTCACTTGAGTTTCCTCTCGAGCTGAAGGTAACGACAGGATTCTGCTCGTGTGGGTACTAGGCCCATGAAATATTTAACACAGTGGTACCAAGTAGACTAAGCATCCATAAATGTTTACCACCACTATTCCTGTGGCTAGCAATACTAAAAGTAATAAAATGAGTTTTCCATCCGGTGTATACTTTGTGCTGGAGTTAGGACTGGAATCTACGTTTCAGAGCTTTATGTTTAGCTCTCTCTGCAGTGCATGAGTTACAGTGTCTTACTGCTTCACACGTAATTGTTTCTTTTACGTTATAGAGAGTGGTGGCAGGAAGCTCAGAAGAATCGGAAAGTAAGACCCAACCCTAACGACACCAAAGTGAAGAAGCAGCTGCGGAAGTTGCAGCTCACACCTGGCTTTCCCAACCCTGCGGTCGCTGAGGCTTACCTCAGACCTGTGGTGGACGACTCAAAGGGCGCCTTTCTGTGGGGCAAACCCGACCTTGACAAAATCAGAGAATATCCTTGGTGTCTTCAAACGTAAGAGGACGTTGAATCATATACGCGTTCGGTTTAAAACTTACAAAACATCTTTCCCATAACATCTCAGTTGTCTAAGACCCTAGATTCTTTTTTGCCTCCCCCTGGAGGGAACAGTAATCGCATCGTAGATACAACCACATACTTAGGTATTGTTCATTCTGAAAGAAAATAGAAAAAATGATGAACTTTGGCCTCTTTATTACTGTTTTTCCATTCTGTGCATTTAAATAATCATTTGGAAAGAAGTTAAAAAAGTTATAATAGAACTAATCGAACTCCATTTTTTTCTGTCAAAGAAATGTAAGATATCTAAGACTTGTTTTTATTTTAGGTTAAGCTTGTTTTTCACAGTCACTAGTTCTTCATGTCCTAAAATGTTAAGTAATTTCATTAGAAGAGTGAAAAGAACCTACTGCAAAATAATCATGCTCGAGTAATTTTTTTAAGTTACTGTATTATTTTGGCACTTTAATCCGTACAAATATGAAAATCGTTGGAGATCCAGGGAATGGAATGAAGGATGGGTTCTTTGGACCTTTTTATTTATCACTTGTGTAAATTCTTTAAAAAATATTTATGTCTTAACTGCCTGCATGTTTTGTCAGCGGTATTTCGGCTGGAGCAGGACTAAGACAGATGAGTCTCTGTCTCCGGTATTGAAGCAACTGAGTGCCCAGCAGGTAATCATGGTGGTTTTTTCCTAAGCTCAGGGAAGAGTGGGCTTAGTAAGCTGAGATTGGCAGCTGTTCCAGGCCAGTAATTCTTTTATTTGAGGGCATCTAGGTACATTTTGAAATGATGATATTGAAACGGTGAAGAACAGAGGAAAATAGTCTTCATTTCTGGTATCCCTCTTAGGGCTGGACTGAGGTGTCCTTTTCTATTACTACTTTGAAAAACACCGATCTAATAATCATTTTCATAGTAAGGTGTATCTTCTTAAATATATTACCCCTTTGGAATTATTTTCATTTTTTAATTTTATATTTGAGATAGGGTCTCGCTGTGCAGTTCAAGCTGGCCTTGAACTCACTATATAGCCCAGGCCAGCCTTGAACGGATGGTTGATCCTCCTGCCTCAGCCTCCCGAGTGCTGGGATCACAGGTGTGCACCACCATGTCTGGCCCTATTTTCATTTTTTAAAAGCTTAGGAATCACTGCAGTCTAATCATTAAAACTTCTTTAAGTGCTCACACTTTTAATTTATAATTTGTAATTGAAACCTTAAAAGGCGTTGTCGTGGGTCGGTAGAAGAAGGGTTCTGAGAAAAGCAGCCTGTGGTCTGGCTCTGACCCCTCAGATAGCACCTGCCTGACTCGTATGTCTCTACTCACCTGAAACAAGCCTTCCTCCCTGCTCCCCATCCGGGAGCAGTCCACAGAACGGATGCACAGAGAAGCCATTGAGCAGAAACGAGACCATATCTTTTGAGATAAATCAGTTTCTATCAAGTTTGGTTAATTTTGAGAAAAACAACCCATAAAACTGAGCTAAACCACATTTCCAGGAGTTTCCCCCTTGTTTGATGATTTTTATCTACTGGAAACACAAACCAACTGAGAATGAAGCTCTTTCTTAGTGATTGATTGCTCCTTACTTGCAGATAAATTTCATTGTAATACTTTCCCCTCTTTCATTGTAATACTTTCCCCTCTTTCATTGTAGGACTTAACATGGGCTTATTTCTCCAAAATGAGGAAGTAAAGACAATAATTAGACTACTTATATACTTCCTTTAACACAGGTGTTAACCTTTAGGCTTATTCTCTTTTCCCACATTTATTTGGATATTTATTTCCATAGATATATGCAGCTTTATATAGCTCATCTCCCCTTCTCCTTGCTTATTAGCATACATTTCTGTGAACTGCATGGTTTTCATAATTTCACATGACTACTTTAGATTTTATTAGGGAGATTTAAATTAGTTCAGTTTAATGAACTTTTAATTTTAGGCTTTGACAATTAATGCTGTGATGAATGTTAGGCCAAAAAATTTTCCCATATGTAACTATTTTTAAAAGTGTCTTCCCAAAAGTTGGTTTGCTGAACAAAAGGCATGAATATTTCTTATGGTACCTGTATATACTGTGAACTTGCCTGAATATATTATATGATGTTTTTATTTTTTAATTAATTAATTAATTTAGAGAGTGGGTCTCTAACTTACTATGTAGCCCAAGCTGGCCTCCAAGTCATGGCGATCCTCCTACCTCAGCCTCCTGAGTGCTGGGATTACAGGCATGTGCCACCGCACCCAGCTATATAATGTTTTATAAAAAGCAGACAGTATGATTTAGATACAGACTGTATGTAATTTTATTGCTCACCAGAAGATGATGTATTTGGTGGTAGAAAAATACTTAACTCTTTTTTTTTTTTTTGTACTGGGGTTCGAACTTAGGACCTTATGCTTTTGAGGCAGGCAGCGGCACCACTGAGCGAAATCCCTGGCCCCCTAACCCCTTAACTCTTTTGAGTACCTAAGAAGAGATTTCCTGTTTGATATGTGAAGTAAGAACTTACTTTCTAGAGTTAGTAGAAGAGCTTCAAGTCTGACTTACAGATTACTGAAATTTACTGTCTAGTAATTGGGAAAGAATTGGCTTTTGGGAGACAATGAATTAATATTCTTCACACTAGTAATCCAATGTGAATGGTCAAGATTGAGCTCATTAATTTAGTTTGGAAGCTTTATTTACTTATCTGACCTGTCATTTTATTTTATTTTAGACACAGCTCCGAATTGATTCTTTCTTTAGAATAGCTCAACAGGAGAAACAAGATGCTAAACGCATTAAAAGCCAGAGATTAAACAGAGCTGTGACATGTATACTGAGGAAGGAGAGGGAAGAAGCAGCCAGTGAGATAGAAGCAGCTTCTGTTGCTATGGAGAAAGAGCCTGAGATCTTTGGTGAAGTAAAAGAAAAAACTCAGAAGAGAAACCAAGCACAGAAATCAAAAGAGGCATCAAGTATGAAAAGAAAGCCGCTTTCAGAATCTGAACAAGAGAGTAAATGTGGCGGGTTTCTGGGGGAGACCTACTTCTCAGAATCGCCTGATGCATCTTCCAATGAAGATGCTGGAAGTTTATCTTTGGGGAACATACGAAGGAGAAAAGAAGCTAAAGACTCAAAAATCAGCTCTTCAGATTTTCAGGACCCAGTTCAAGAAGCTCCCGTGCAGGAATGGGGTGAAACCATCAGCAGCTCTAGTGACGATGATGGAGAGAAGCCCAAGGCTGTCCTGGTGACTGCCAGACCTGTGTTTGGGAAGAGAAAGAGGAAACTGAGACATGCAAGAGGAAGAAAATGGAAAACCTAATTCGAAAATATGTATTCTCTATGATTATGTGGAACATTTTGTAATGAATTTTGTTGTGAAGACATTATAAAATTAAATATATTTGTACAGTCTTTGTATTTAGCGTGTGATATAAAAAATAGATGCAAAACTTGACACTTATGTTTCACTGTTTTTTTCTGGTATTTTCTACTTCATTGAGTATCTCCTTGTATTCACAGGCTTTGTCTCATGCTTTTATCTTACAATGTCTGATGCTTTCTGACCACATTTTTAAAAAAGAATTTGTATCGATCAGCACTCTCTCAATAGGCATTCCATCTGACTCTGACCTGGACAAGAAGAGAGATACTCATATTTTTCGTTCCACAGTAGTGGCAGTTCCAGCAATAGTGGCAGTGCTCCCCACTGCTTGCCATTTTCCTTCGGGCTGTACTTAAAAGGATAGCAGGAGGAGACCTCTGCTGGAACATATTTGAAGTATGTGTTTGCTGTGGTTTTAGCAAATAATTAGGAAACCTAAATGGGGTACATCATACTACCTGTGAGCATTAACTGTATGGGAACCTCTGTACCATAGTATTTGCTTTTAAGCTACTTTAGTTGTCAGGAGCTGACTTCTGTGTAAATGGATTTGGAGGCTCAGGTCTGTATTTAAGATAGTAGATGTGGATCCATTTTACGAGTGACTTGGGGGGTTCATTGTTGTTGACACAGGTGTTGTGATTTCTCCTGCTGAGGCTGCCCACAAGAACTACTTTCAAACTACTGGTTGCTTAGAATGAAGAAATATCCAAGGATGGATAGTACTGCCATTCACTTCGAGCCTGGTGTCTTCTGCCGTCAGAGTTAGCTTTTTGTCACTGTGACAAAATGCCCAAGAAAATCAACTTAAAGGAGGAAAGATTCATCTTGACTCATGGTTTCAGGGATTTAGTCCATGGTTGTCTGGCTCCATTCCTATGGGCTTGTGATGAGACTTCTCTCAGGCTTTAGCCTGCTTAGCCTGTGATTTGGTGAGATGGGGTCTTGCCAATTTCTGAGAGGCCTTCAAAAAAATCTTATCTCAGTGTGAAGAACTTTTATCTCAGTATCAAGATAGTGGCAGTATGTGGTGGAGCAAAGCTGCCTACCACACGACAGCCGGAAAGCAGAGGAAAAGAGCCAGAGAAGAAGGGCTAGGGGACATAAAATACCCTTCAAAACTGCAGTCCCCAGTGATCTTTCTAATCTAGTTAAGCCTCATTTCCTAATAGGTCCACTGAGCTGTGCACTCAACAGGTAACTTGCTAAAGTTAGAGCTGTCAGTCCAGTTACTTCTCAAAAGCCTATCCACCAGCAGTGAAGCCTTCAACAGTGAGCCAGTTGGATCCCAACTATGTTATTCCACTCCTGCTCTCACAATGCAAAATACATTCAGTCTGTTCCCAAGAGTTCCCAAAGTCAACAATTCTAGCAGTTGCTCAAAAGTCTAAAGTCTCCTCTGAGACTCAAGGCAACTCTTAGATATGAGTCCCTGTAAAAATCAAAAAGCAAGTTACAAACTCCCAGGACAGAATGGGATAAGGTGAACATTCCCACCCCAAGAGAGAGGAATGGGGTCATAACAAGAAAAAACTGGGCCTAAGCCAGACCAGAACCTAGTAAGGCAAACACCAAAACTATAGCTCCACGTTTGGCATCTGAGGCACGTGATGGTGTGATGTGGGCTCAAAAGTGCTTGGATGGCCTCATCCATATATCCTTGCTGGCTATAGCCCACATGACCTCTCCTGGGCTGGTTCTGCTCACTGTAGCTTTCCTTAGTAGGCATTCCACATTCTTGGCATCTCCAACTTCCTGAGAACTTCATTGGAGCTTTGGTCTCATTCTTAGCTTCATGCACCACCTGCTCAGGGACTGCCCACAGTGAAGTGACTCTGACTGGCCCTGTCACACATTGCTTGGCCTCCAATCTGATGGGAAGCTTTATGAGTCTAATTCTTTCTGCATGCCTGCAAAACTAATACCACGTGGATGTTTGCAAGGTCTGTTGTCAGTGGAACCAGTGGCCAGACCCACTTGGATCATGGCTGTTGTGGCCTCTTGAGTGCTTGGGCAGCTTTGCAATAAAACGAATCTTGGGGAAACAAATTTCTAGGTGGCCCTGTGGCAGCAGAGTGCCCTGATACTCTTCTCAAAGCTAAGTGTCAAATGAGTTTACACTTATACATGTTTAGCTTATGGTTTGGTGGTGGTGGTGGTGGTGGTGGTGAGGGGAACCTTGCCAATTTCTGAGAGGCCTTCAAGGGATCTTTTATCTCTGTGCAAATAACAACCCCTCCCCCAAGCTGGTCTCAACTTGTGCCTCCTGCCTCAGTCTCTCAAATGCTGAGATTTCAGGCATGTACCACCATACTTGGCCAGTACTTACTTGCCTTTTTTCTGGTGCTAATTCTTCAGCAACCACACCTTCCTCAGTTCCAACTTTACATGTTCTTATTTTCTGGACAGCCTGCAAATTTTTCAAATCTTTCTGTTCTGCTTTTTGCTCATGAGTTTCATTATGAGCAAATGGCTAAAAGCAGCCAGCAATATCCATCCCACAGCCTGAATCCTTTGTTGCCTTGAAATTTCCTCCAAAATATTAATGACCCAATTACCTTTAAACTTAGCCTCCCACAGATATTCAGGACATGGACACAATATAGACAAGTTTCTTCACTCAGAAGTTGGGCCAGTTGAGCTGGTGAAGCAGTTACCACCATGAGGTTATTCGGACGTCCAGGTTCAGCCATTTCTTATGTTGTTTTATTTGAATTGTGTGTACTGGGTAGGACAATTACATCCATATTTCAACCTGCTGAAAGGGAGAAGAATGAAAGTTCAGGTCAAGCTGAATGTCTTACATCAAGGATGACTAGAGAAATCATTTTCCATTTTTGTTGACATGAAATGAGCATATGGCTATATGTAGTTGTGCTCAGAAATGTAATTTCTACCTGGTTTGTGGGCCTAGGAAGAAGGGGGAAGATTGGACCATGAGAGCATATGCTGTATGATATTTACAGAACAGTTTGATATTACAGTATGTTCTGTTCTCTTTTTAAACTTGATGTCCAAAGAAAAATCTTTCTAAAAGGGTAGAAACAAGGTTAGAGAGTTTAACTTACTTTGGCAAATCTACCCACCAAGAAGACCTTTCCAAGATGGTGGAACAAGGTACCGAGCTCTCCAATTACATGGAATTAAAAGAAATGGAATGTAGCTGTCTGTTGAGGCGAGTGACCATGGGAGAATGCTGGAGTTCAATAGTGGATAGAGACTTGGAGAAACCCAGAGATACTGGATAGTATTTTTACCAGCTTGCATTTGATGGTACTTGGCAGAAGCATTCATAGTAGTCTTTTTTTAAAATCATGTCTCACTGATCAAAAGTATACAACAATTTCTGTCAAATAAAAGCATTACATGTATCCTCATCCACCTTCACTGGATCTGGCACTGTATGTTTTCTGCCTTTTTCCCAAAGTCAAAGTGACCTTGAAAGGTAAACATTTTGCATCAGCTCAGGACATGTAGGCAGCCATGACAACACACCTAAAAACACTCACAAAAAAGGACATTCAAAGCTGCTTCAGAAACTGGCAAGAGTGATAAGTATTTTAAGGGGAAATAATAGTGATGTGTCTTTGCTAAAATACATTACAAAAAATTATACATTCACTGTAGTGTTTGATCATATCTATAAAGAACTAAAAAAGAACAAAATAATCCAATCAAAATGCACAATTGATCTAAACAGATACTTCTCAGAAGAAGCACACATAGTCAATAAATATATGAAAGTGCTCAATGTCTTTAGTCCTTAGGGAAACACAGATCAAAAATACATTGAGAGTACATCTCACCCCAGTTAGGATGGTTGTTATGAAAAAAAATATACTGGAGAAGATGTGAAGAAAAATGAACCCATATACACACTGTGGGAATATAAATTAGTAAAACCTATTTGGAAAACATTAACTAAAAAACTAAAAACTTTTAGAGAACTATCATATGATTCAGTTATCTCACTCCTGGCTATTTATCTGTTGGAAATGAAGCCAGCATACAAGAGATACCTGCATTCCCATGTTTACTGTGATGCCATTCACAATAGCTAAGATAGTGAGTCACCCCACATGTCCATCAACAAATAAATAGGTAAATTGTTTATAAATATACATAAATAAACACACACATATATTCAGCTATAAAGAGCAAGTTGAGGTACCTTTAACTTATTTCATGATCATCCTATATCTTTTCTATAAAATTGTCATCTAACTCATTAATGTTTTCATTACCTTACCTTTGCCATTAAACCCATATTTTGAGTTCTTTCTTCGTTCATTATTTTTCAATTCTATTTGGCTCACTTTTATAGATTCTAGTTCTTTGCTGTAATTTTCTTTCTTTTTTTTTTTTGGTACCGAGGATCAAGCTCAGGACCTTGCGCTTGTGAGGCAGGCGGCGGAACTACTGAGCTAAATCCCCAGCCCTGCTGTAATTTTCTTTATCTGTTTTTGATCTTAAACACCATTACTTTAAGTCTATATCAAATAACTCCAATATCTGGATTGTAAATTGACTTAGTGCTGGACATTATGTACTCGGAATTGTGGATGTTCCAGATCTCCCTCTAGAGAGGCTCCCAGAAGGTATTTTAACAGGTTGCAGGGGGAAAACAACCTCAACCCACTCAGGACTAAGTAAGTGGATTCAAATCTGGTGTGCAGTCTTTGTAAGATTACAGTTTGTATTTTCTCCCTATTCCTAGAAGCCAGGTTTTTTTAGGAGAATCAACTGAAATTCTGTAGCATCTCCCCCCCCCCCGACAAGGTTTCACCATACACTTCAGACTGCCCTTGGACTCACTATGTAGCCCGGGTTGGCCTTGAACTTGTGGCGATCTTGGCCTCAGCCTCCCTAGTGCTGCGATTACAGGTGTGCGCCTCCACACCCAGTGCATTTCTCTCTCCTTTTGAGATTTGCTCTACTCTTTGGCCTCCATGCTTTGAAAATTGGCCTCTTGTGCTAAACAGCATAATCATGAAATACTCTGCTGTAAGATCAGTGCTAGCAACAGGCTTACTTCTCTGAGCCTTCTTTCTGGAAGGGATCCTGGGCCCTCAATTCCTGGCTGCTTTGCCAACCCCAAACACTCTCCTTTTATTCCCTGAGTTCTAAGAGCTTGCCTGAAGCTCTGTGATACTGTTACAGTTGTCCTCTCTGTGGCTTCTTAGCCTCCTTCTCTTTCCCTTCACCAGTAATCAACAATGCATGGAATTCTTGGCTTCCTTGACATCTCTAATAGTGTCTAATAGAAGCGTGTGTATGTGTGTTTGTGTGTGTGCTTAAAAACCTGCCTTTCTGCTTTATAACAGAAGTTTTAGTTCTGCTATAAGGTGCTTAGAGATGAAAGCAGAGTCTCTATATACTGTTTTCCACTGTTCAGTGTAGCTGAAAGGATCATTATCATGATATTTGTTAAGATGATTGATTTAGAGATTCTGCTTCTTAAGAAATCCAGCACTGAAGATTGCATAATCTTTCAAATAACTCCTTGAAAAAGACATGATTTTTATTCATCAAGCAATTCTTTATTCTTCTTTTTAAAAGAGAGGGAATGTCCTTTGACCAAAATTAACTCCTTTGAATAATAGTTTGCATTGTTTAGGATTTTGTACTTTCTAGAATGTTTTAAACCTGCCATATTCACTCCACATATACGATCATGTGCATTTTATATCTCTGTTTTGTAGACAAAGAAGTCAAGAAACATACTAAACAAATTTCATTATTGACAGGAATAACTGAAATTAGACTCTCTGATGCCTTGTCCTGTCTACTACATTACAGTGATCTCAGTACAGCTTTGTATGCACATCATGATATAGAAAATATTTTGGGACTCACAGCCCTCAGATTGACTTTGTGCTCTCAGCTGGAACTCTGTATCAAGGAGGATGTTTTCAGTGACAAGGGCGCTCTGACACACACACCTGCACACACATGGGCAGGTGCACACGGACTGGCACACCCTCAGCCTGCCCATTCGGAGTAGGAAGGAATCGTGGACGTTTGATTCCTGGATGCAGACCGATGCTGCACACATCCTTGCGAAGCTGTTGGATTCTAAAAGCAGTGTTCACACCTAAACAGGTGACATCAAAGAGTACGTGGCTTCCATTTCTTAGGACGTCATAGCCATGGGATCTTAGAATAACTCTTGGCATTGAAGTTGAAAAATTGGATTGCTTCCTCCAAACCGTCATCACTTACTCTCAGGAGTGCTTTGTATTCACCGATTAGCTCTAGCTCGGTTCGCGGGACACTCGGATGGCATATTCCCACTGTTCTTTAGCCCCCCTACTTCCAGGCATTCCATCCTCATTGCTGCAGAACCAGAAGCGCTGCAGCTGCAGCTGTCAGGACCCTAATCCCTTCTGCTTGGAGTTCCTGCCAGCGGGTACAGTAGTGAACCGCGTGCTTTGGTGCTCCCGTTTCAGGCACCAGAGGTCTCAGCCGCAAAACAAAAGTTGTGGATGAGATAAATTTTACCTTCTAGAAACTCAGCTAACCCATTAGGTATGTCCAGATTTAACATTTAATAAATATTGTCCTTCAGGGACACAGGTATAATAAAGACTGCTTTCTTTAACGGAAGACATATTAAATTGGCAGCAAAATGTGCGTCTTGTTTTTATTTTAGCTGTGTGACCTTGGTGATGTTATTTAACCTTTGATTTTCCTTGTTTGTGAACTGTATAGAAAATGATTTTGCTTTTAACTTACTGAGGCATGCTGTAAAGAAAAATGTAGTGGGTGTGAAATGCATTTTGGGATCTTTGGAAGAAAGGAATATTATATTAACTTATGGTATACAGTGTCTATCTGTTCTCTGACATCAAATTGAGAAGTAGAAACAAAAGTTTTGTTTTCCAATTGAATAACAGCTCATTTAAGCTAATTCTGATGATCTACTTGAGTGGAATAAAACAATTTCTTCAGTCTTAAATGTTTGCTGGGATGGTGTGGACTCTTTAAGGCAGAAGCTACTCAAAAGACCATCCGGCAGTAGGGCTGTTTGACATTACAGACTTGTTAATGACACATTGATGGGAACAGGTGAACTTTGCATCAGTTGCTAGGAAGATTTATTTGAGATTGATGTTACAGTTTTCACCACAGTGAACAAAACCTATTTCTTTCCAGTGTTTTTTAATCACCTCTCAGATTTTAGAATTGCTGTCTTACTAGTCAATATGATGAAGATGCCTTTCTTTATGATAGCTGAGGTAGCCGCTGGTGAGGAATGTATTCTTTCTCTAGTAGCTTTTAGAATTTCTGACTCTGAAACCTTTGTTCCAATATTTATTTGGACTAGATAATATTTAGATGGTCTTTTTAAAGACATGCTTTGTTAATATATGATATTTTAATATAATTTTCTCAGCTATGTTTGAAGTTTAAGTATACATATACTTAATACATATTTTGAATTATTGCTATTTGATATTTTGATGTATTATTTGCCTAGTTCTGAAGAAATGATCAAGAAAATATCAAAATATAGCCACCCAGTAATTCATCATTTGATGGATACAGAGGGTAAAGAAGGTAAATATTTTGTGTGTGTGTGTGTGTGTGTGTGTGATTTGACCAATTCTAAGAAGATAAACAATGATTAGACTATAAAGTCTTACTTTGGCAGTGCTCATTAATGTCTAAATAAGCTAGAACATTGTTTCTCTCTTACTCAACGATTGGGTCAGGACATTTAGTAATTACATTTTATGTCTTGGCTTGTGTTTGTTAACCTGCAAATATCTCCACTAATGTTTAATGTGTACTGCTATAACACCAATGGGCCCGATGATATGTTACAGGTGATTGTGATAGATAATAAATTAAATATATAAACCTACTAAGTATTTAGTTTTCCTTTGATTTGCAAAAATAACTTTTCCCAGTGCCATACATGAAATGCATGATTGTGACTTCTGAATCATTTCATTTCAGATCAAGAGATAAAAGTATTTCCATGTAAATACTTTGAATGAATTTAGGTTGTAAAAACATCTCTAAGATGTGTTCAGAGTCCATTTGCTATTTATTAATGAGAGGCAAATACATAATGTAATTTGACTTCTAGATAGAAAGAGAATTTAAATTTTAATTCTATGACAAGTTTAATTCTTTGAAATTGACCCACCATTTTCACACAGTCTTAAATATGAAGTATGACACTGCATGGATTACATAATATAACTATCCCCATTGTTTGAGATAAAAATATTCTTGGCGTAGACTAAAGAATTACCATGTCTTTTCAGAGCAGTTCTAATACAAATCCAGTTATTTTGATTTCTCTCTCTCTCTGTCCTTGTATCTTGTGCTGTGGATGTTTTGTAAGAACTATAGTACTGTTGCTTCCCTTTCTGGCCACACCATGTGGCTTCTGCCTCAGTGAGCACATATTCAGGTAGAGAGCATAGGGCACATGCCTAGCTCTGGCAGCCTACCTGGCTTATACACCAAAGGTTCTCCTGCAGCAATTGTTGTAAACCTGAAGATGTAAGCTATGATTACTTAGAGAGAATCTAGCCATTTAGATAATTTGAGTGAACTTGTAATTTCTGGGTGGTTTATGAATAAAATTACATCATTATCATTACCATTAGTAACAATTCTTGGTTTCTACTGTGTGCCTGATAATTTGGCAAATTACAAGGGAAATGGAAGAAGTTCAAGGTAAGGTTGCGACAGAGCTAATATTAAAATATTTTATAACATGAATAAACATACCCCATAATCATCCCCGTAGCCAATTAAAGCTTTAAAAATACGTTCAAAAGCACAGTGCTAAAGGGATTAAGTGTGTGCTCCTGGAGCAGAGCCAGATGGCATTTCGTTGGCAAGACTTCCCCCAAGTAGAGGAACACTCAGTTCTCAAGTCCTGAGTGATGCTGATTTGTCTCGCTCTAACGCTCTTATACGTCGTATCTTGTGTTTGGAAATGATGGAGCAAACCCACAGCTCGGTTCTCACGTTTCAACATGGCAAGGAGAACTATAACATATCGTTTATTTATACACAGATTAAAACTAGGACTAGGGCGAGTACTAAAAATTCCTTTCTGTACATTTCCAAGGGTGCATTATAATCCACATCGTCTAAAACTTTATCCAAATTAACAATTTCAAGTATGCCGTTTGCCTTCTTCATACCAACAGCTCCACTCTGGCTGTTAGCACCGTGGTATAAGGTAGTCATCTCCAGGGTCTACGCTTGGAGCAGATTCACCTTTCCTCAAGGTTAAGTTGTTCCTCAGCACAGTGATGCCCAAATCTGCCATTTCAACTGTATCTGACATTGTACCTGCTTCCTTCTGTCAGTCTGGGCACTTCCAGAACTACCAAAAATCAGATCAAGCATGCGAGGGACTTACTTGGGGAAAAGCATGTGGAGGACAAAGAAGGAAGGAACCGCAGCCGGCAGACGGAGCTGTCAGGTCCCAGCGAAGGTATCCCGCCTCAGCGAGAAGTGATGGGTGGATTGGGAAGGAAGAACTTTCAGCTGCAATGCAGGGCCCGGCGCGTCTCGGGTGGGCACTGGGGAGCCACTGAGCAAAGGCGGCCACTAGAAGAGCGTGCTTGGAATGAGCTGGCTTCCGGCGGCGGCCCCAGTGCGGCAGTGAGGTCTTCAGGAGCCAAAGTTCTTGAAGCTGGCCCTGCTGGGCAACTGCGACTTGCATCTGGGCCTCTTAAACTGAGAAGCCACTTTGACGGCCAGCACATTCCACCACAGGCTAATACTCACTTCCCTTGGCAGATTTGCCCCCCCCCCCCCCATATTTTCTGTCTCCGTGTGTATCCATAGCCACCCGGAAGTCTGGCATTATTCCAGTCTCTCCTTCACGCTCTTCATCATTACATCCTACTGGTTTTACCTCCCTAATGTTTCCCTGCCCTTCCCTCCCTGTTTCCAACGCCACTTGCCTTGATTCTGGTCTTTCTTATAATTTCTTCTCTCTAGTGTTGTTAATTGCCTTTAATTGGCTGTTTTACTCCCCCCCCCCATTAACCTTATTGATACATTTTAGGTATAAAATACAGTTACATTCATCACTGGGATCTTGTAGCATTACATGAGTCTCTTAGTTCTTATTTTTTTCCCCCTTCCCTTGACCTCCCTTCACCCCCTCCACCCTTTCCTATTTGCAAAGACCTTGGTTCCATTTTTTTTCCTCTTCTCATATTTTTTCTTTTCCTTTTTTCCCCTTCCCCACCCCTCCCAATTACCCTGCTTTTTTAGACCTTTTCTTCCTGTTACACAATATCAGTTATACATTTTTAAAATTACAATATTAAGATCTAGGAGACATTACCACAGATTTTACAGAATTTAAAAGGATATAGAAAGCATATTAC